ACACACACAGACATGCCCGCACGGCTCCACACGGGTCCCCACGCACAAACACGCACACGCACACACACAATCCAACCGCTATATGGGTCATGCTTTCACACGAGGTTCGGCACTTTTCCGACTTGCTAAAGGATTCAATGAACATGACACTGCTGGTGTTCTTTCGGTGTTTGATGCAAGCGCTTGCCCAGGCAAACCGGATGATTCAGAGCCGACGATGGCTTGCGTGAAGTTGAGCACTGCGATCTTGGCTTTGGCTCCAGCGCAACAGGTCAAACAAACGCTAGATTTGATTGTCCGGAGTTGCCACCAGCGGCAGTTCCCTCCAAGCCAAAATGTGCCTTGGTTCCTTCGACACCACATTTTCCGCAGACCTCATCGTGAGGAAGCCAGAGCATCCAAAGGAACAAGAGGCAGACCATGACCAAGCCCAAGATGCCCAAGTGTCGGTGGACGAGATCCTAGTTCAGGCAGTGCTGGCCAGCGCTGAAGCCTCCAACAGGGCCATGAAGAGGAGGGTGCGGCAAAGGCTTCACAAGAAGCTTGGGGGCATGCTTTCCAAGGAAGAGTTTGACGTGGCTATGGAGCGCTTCAAGGAGATGGAAGACAAGGGTCCAAGCAAGCTAGTAGTGAAGCAAAATCCGCCTCCGGCGCCCGTGATCTTCGCAGTGCCCCTGTTTCTACCCATGGCCTCCGCGGGTGCATACATGATGCCGGTCACAAGCTCTACACCCTCTGTCTTGAGCGTGAATTCGCAGACATCCACTTGCCAAGGATGTGAGGGCCCGGGGTCTGAAGACTCGAGCGCCTTTGAGGACGACTTGGAGAGCTGTGCAGAGTGGTGCCGTGCTCGGAGCGAGGACGCGCCGGTGGAACGTACTTTCATCCACTTTGACACTCGGATGCATGTGCACCGGCGTTCCCGCTCTGTGTGAAGTGCCATGGTGGTTAATTGCCCTGCCTCAATTTTGAGAAAGCTTTTCTTCCAGAGAAACAGGTTTGGCAACGTGTAGGTGGGTTGCTTTTGCCAGAGATTGGCACAAGGCGCTTTTCTGGATCGTTTCAAGGCTTCAAATGGCTGGCCACACAGCCTGGCCGATCGAACCCAAATTCAAGTTGCGCGCTTTAGGGACTTGGAACCTTTCCAAGGCAAAACTTTTGAAGGGATGGAGGTGGAATGGCCCTACGCTGCCATATCACTTTCGGGGCCCCTCTCGGCTCGTCAGGGCCACGCTGATTGGGTCCAATGCACTCACAGCCAATGTTCGGGATGGATTCCCGGCGTTCCCCATAAGTTACCGCTATCAAAAAATCTCTCATGGAGCATAAGAAGAAAAAGGCAATCCAATGATGGTGTGGAGCCCTGCATCATGTCAGCATGTGACCATCCGTCAATGCTATTGGCTATGGAGGGATTGTTTGATCGATTGTGTTAGTTGGTTGCTGGACTCACCTGTTGCTGTCTTGGCCTTGCCTGGGCCGTGCAGGTGCAACTGATCCATGCCTGATGTTTGTGCTTGGGCGTGATCATTGCTTTCCGTTTTGGCCTGTAATGCGGTTGTTGAAACTGTCAAAGTGCATGACATTTGGAGATGAAGGATTGTCGGCGCAAACTTTCGATGGTGTTCAGGTCAGTTCTGTACCACGACTCTGACTGGCGGAGGGAGTTGTGAGATTGCAGGCTATGTTTCTCGTGTTGGGTTTGGTCAAAATACAATAGGTGTCGTCGTTGTCAATGTGCATTGGCTCAGTGATTTGCGTGCCATGACAAGCTAGTCGCATGAGCGTTGACACGCCATTGCAACCAGCAACCAGTCACTTTGCTCTGACGCCATGTCGCACTTTTCCGGGATCTTGGGTGCCAGCAACCAGTATGGGCGCTGGATCCCTGACCAGGCCGAGAGCGCGTTTGACCCTAGGTGAAGGATTGGAAGGCCCCCTTCCTGGGAAGTGGTTTGGCATGCTTGAGCTCCAGAGCAACGCAGAGAGAAGATCTATCTCGCGCATGTCTGTGCATGTCTCTCTCTCTCTCTCTCTATGCAAGCCTATGCATGTCGATGTGACTGTGCAGGAGCTAAACGTCAAGGCCATCGCAGGTTGGGACACCCAGCAGGTGCAACCACGCGCGCGCTCGCTGGTGTGCCTGTTTTCTCTCTTTTGGCTTATCCACAGATCTCAAGCAGAGCCGTGATCAAACTACAATGGACCCCAGTGATGAATAGCCTAAGCATGTTCATGGGTTTTTGGCCGGGGCGCAGTGTCCCACATGGCGCATTCCTTCTCCTTTCAAAGGGGGACGTATTCTTCGAGGACATTTGCTTGAGACTCCCACGATTGAGGCGGTTCTACTGTCGACTTTTCTCAAGCCTGGAGCTTAAGGGTGAACCGGCATGTGGCGTTCCAAGATCAAGGCCTTGGTCATTGCCTTTGGGAATCCTTGGAAGGGAACAGCAATGAGGCAGGTTCCCCAAGAACCCGGGCCGGACGGCCTCACTTTCGCAGATTGGGACACTTGTGACTGCAAGGCCCTGTTCAAGCACACGACCTACACGGTCCACACCAAGGCATGGCGATTCTGCACGTGGGCACCCAATGCCACCGAGGAATTGGATAAAGATCGCTGGTGAGAGTCAATGAAGTTTGGATCATGGCACTTTTGTTAAGCGGCGATAGGGCAATCGGCAGGCATTCTGGGGTGGCGTCACCATCATTGTGCCACCAGGCGCAGTGGATTGCTTTCCCGTTTTCGGGAGGTTCCATTCTTGCTTTGTTCGCTGAACAGTAGAATCCACGTGAGTCACTTGGTTATTTGAATACACTGGCAGTGAGGACGCGAGAGTGCTCACTCTGATGCCCGCCTTTCCAAACGCATATTTGGCACCGGTTCTAGTCAACCGCATTGGTTGTGCGGATTGCGTCAGGCGTATCTGTGGAGCAGGATGGACAGGCCATCATGGGAGGGTTGCGTGCCCAGCTGACAATATTTGCAGCGACATTGACATACCTTGGCTTACATGCATGCAGTCTCGTGATATCAGATGTTATTGTCGCTTGGATCAAAGGAGGCATTGGTTGGGATCTCCCAGATCTTTGGCCTTTGAAGTTGGAAATCTTGTGGCATCCGGCGAGTTGGGTGCTCTCGGATGTGGCTGCAGCCTTGCAACAGAGTGGTTGTCCATGAGCCAGAGCCCTGGAGATGTGTTTCCTAGTGGTTCCTTTTGGCAGGTCTTGGGAGCGGCATTTGTTTCAATGAGCATTCCCCCCCTTTCCCCTGTCCCCACCAACCCCCCAGGCCACCCACCGGCCAATTTCGAACCCGGCTCGAGGTTCGGCGGAACTGGGGGTCTTTATTCGGCTGCCACCCATGGCATCGGCGCAACACCCTCAGAGCTTGCACGAGTTGAGTCTTTCTTTTGCGCCCCCTCTCTCTCTGTCGCTTCCTGCGATGTGTCCCAAAAAGCTTTGCACAAAGGCTTTAAATGGTTTAAGAGGTTTAAGTATCTTGCCAGCATTGCGAATCATTTGTGATCAACAGTGTGGCATTTCCACCGGGCTCAGCCTCTCACGTGGTGAGGCGGCAACGAATTCTGGAATTACCATCAAGGCCAGCTTGCAGCTCATTCATGGCCACAGCATGGCCACAGCCCTTGCAATTGAAGCTGCAATTGGGCTGGTCATGGACAAGCCAAGAAGTGTCTTCCTTGGAGAGAATCCACCTTATTAAAGGTAGACACATAAAATTAAACTAGCAAGACACGCAGCTGGCAGTGGATTGAAATACTGTGGCTGCGCAGATCAGCGGCACTGCCATGATGGGCAGTGTCTCTGTCAGCGTCTCAGGCGTGTATCACATCGCGTTCTGGCTTTGTGGGTTCATCACATTCACGATTGGATTTATGCCGCACTGTTGTGGCCCGCCCGAGGTGGCGGTGAACCAGCGCGCAAAGCCAGCCGTTCTGATGACGCGACTTGCTCAGATCCCTTGTGGAATTGCCTGGAGCAGGTCCGTCATTTTTTGCTCTCAGCTTATTCGATGCGCGCTTGAAGGCCAATCATTTGAAGTAAACCGATCTTTGCCACTGGCTATGAGCGAGAGCTACGCTCGCAGCCAGGAACGATTTGGCAGGTGAGGCCTGTTGGTGCTGCCAACCTCGCATGTATGATCCTGACTTCGACTGGGATGAAGTGCACAGCCTGTTGCAAGCCTGCGCTGAGCCGGAATTGCGAGAAAGCACCTCGTGGCAGGCACACGACGCGCAAGCCAACGTTGTCCGATTCGCAGCAGACTCGCCACATGTCTTCACCGGATGTTGGGACAGTGCCAGCCTCCGCTGCTGGGGCAAAACCGGCAGAGGGTATGCTTTGCGGTGGGAGCTGCAAGCGGCTGGCTTCGTCAATGACTTTGTGCAGGTGGGCCGAACAGCTTTGGTCGCCGTCTCCGCCGGCCTGATTCCCACCCCAGGGGAGTCGCTGAAGGCCTACGACTTGGATGCCTTGGCCGGGGCTTGCGCAAAGCCGCAGAGTTTCTTCTTGCACACGCGAGGCTGTCGGGCGCTGAGCTTGTGTCCCAAGGTGCCACAGCTGGCGTCGATCTCCAAGGATGCCCTGGCGGTGTCGCAGATCTCTGAGGGCTCTTTGGCGCCGGACCCGCTGGTCGTGTCCAATCCCCACGACATGAAGGAGGTGACCTCGCTATGTTGGCAAGGTGCCGATCGGCTTTGCAGCGGAGGCACGGGCGGTGCCGTGCACGCCTGGGACACGCAGAGGGGTGCCAAGCTGTGGTCTGCCTGCGTCAGCACGGGCGCCTGGGTGCGACAAATTGCCAACTGCGAGTTCCTTGATGGCCGGCTTCTCGTTTGCCACTCTGACGGCGTGTGCTGGCTCGACGGGCGCGAGGGTGCTGTGGTGGGCCGGGCTGGGGAGGGCCAGGCGTACGCCTGTTGCGTTTTGGGCTCGCAGCATTTGGTGGCCCTGGGCCGGCGCCTGGTGCGCCTGGACATGCGGCGACCAGTGTTGGACCCAGTCAGTGACCTAGAAGCAACGGCCGCCGGCCTGGACAGCTGTAGAGCCTCCAACGGTACCAGCGTGTTGGTGGGCATGAAGAACGGCAAGGTGCAGACCGTTGATCTGGCGTGACGGAAAGACCTCAGACGTGTTTGGCTTTGCTGGAATGTTGGATGGCGCGCTGAGCTTGCGCTTCCTTGCAGTGTTTGAACAAGTGTTTTCGCGGGCACAAGCAGACATGCCATTTTTTGTTGTTGTGTTCACAAAGCCGACTGTGAGGCAAGAGCAAATCGACGAGGAGTTGAAGAAGGCAAGGGCTGCCCAATGGATCCGGCAAGGATACACCATGGAAGCCTCAAATGATAGCCGGGAGGTGAAAATTCTCCAGTTGTCTAACCACGATAAAAGGTGGCTGTGTGCCAGACTTGTAGGCCCTGCGCAGATGGTTGCGTTCCTTGTGTTTTCCTCCCTAGTCGGGTCCAAGTTGGGTCCCGATTTAGTATAACAATATGGCCCATATACTCGTAGGCAGTAGCTTGGATCAAGAATTGTGGAACACCTGCTGAGCCAACATGCCCCAGGACCCGGAGCCATCAACGTGGGCGCCTCATGTTTCCATGGGGACCGCATGATGAGGCAGCCGAGGTACTGGTTGCCGCGTTTCCCTGCGCCCTGTGATTTTGAGCCACAACAACCCTGCATCCTATGCCCCGCAGCCCAACAACGAGTGTTTAAAGAGACAGCTGACCCATATTGTTATGGCTGGGTGGATTCATTCGGTCTCTTGTCTCTTTTAGGATCGACGTGCAAGCCCAAGAAGCAATATGTACGAATGATGGACGGACTTCTGCTTGGGTATTGACGAAGCCATTCACTGCACGCCAAGGACTCACCAGGCCACGATTGCCGTGATTCGCGTCGCGCAACGCAGCCAACGGACAATTGTGGTCAACCCCTTGCTTGAGCAGCCAGTTCGAGAGACATCATGTCGCGAAAACAGGTGGCGTGACTCCTGTGTGTGTGAGAGAGAGCGTGTGAGCGTCCAGATCAAGGGGATCACCAGAGAGGGTCGCGGCAGGATATGGTGCAGCAAGCGATCCAGCAAGCACTGGGCGGGCGATGATGGGATATGCGCAGTATTGATTTAGGTGCACTGCACAGCAGGTCTTGAAGGTAGTGCTGAGCTGTACAGAGCACTTCAAGGCTCCAATCTGTTTTGAAATACCAGCCACCAGGACAGGGTCTTTGGAAAGGGGGCTGGCCAAACCAGAGGTGACACCAGCGGTTTGTACTTGCAAACCTGTAGCTGCTGTTTCTTTGACCAGCCCTCGAAAGTTATCTCGCAAAATGAGCATCCTTGCGGGCAGCAATGCGCCAGTGCCAATGAATGCAGTGGCAAGGGGATGAGTTGCATGCAGTGCGTGCGCGTCATCAGTTATGCCTTGGGCTGGAGGCCAGCTTAAACATGGGCAGTGCAGGCAGTCTCCTGCAAGCATGGGAGCACTAGATTCAGCATGACAGCATCAGGAAGGTACATTCGCATCAGGGCCTTTGCCTTAATTGACCATCAAGTCCAAAGTCCCTGACCTCTTACCAAGAACTCATCGATCTCAGAGTATCCACCTCACTTGGACGGAGCATGAAGTTGTACAGCCAGCAATCGGGATGACTGGCTCTTGGAGTCCACGGGTCATCTCCGGACTGAAGGAGGCATCGCTCGGGGATCCAAGTTGATTCGCTGTTGCTTGGACTGCCAACAGCATAGCCCTTGGCGATGTTGATTCCGTGTACATGAGGTGGCACGTCTTTATCGATGTGTCCTGCTGGATGTGCGGAACTGAGCATATGACGGTAGCATCCGCCTCATTTGTACATGCACGGCACTGTACCCACTCGAGGCGTCGGTGTTGAGCCGTGACGGAAGCCTTTGGGGCCCCAGTTCAGCCCGGGCGCCCAGATTGGAGAGGGGCCTCGCGGAAAAATGGGAGGGCTTTTTATTTTAGGAATGTTTTCGTTTTCTTTGGATTTTTTCCTGGATGTGGCCTGATTTGGCTTCTTAGCTTCTTGGCTTTTGGCCTTTCTCTTCTTGGAGTCTGGGCTTTTTGGCTTTTGGCTCGTGGATTCTTGGTTTCTTGGCTTTTTGGTTTTTCGGCTTTTCGGCTTTTTGCCTCTACTTTTTGTGGCCTTTGTGGCTTTGGCTTTCCGCATCCTCAGCATCACCAGTAGCACCCCAGCATCAAAGCCTTTTGGCTTTTTGGATTTTTGGTTGATGCTTCTTACCTCACCCCAACCCGCCCCCCCTCCTTCTTTGTAGGCAACGAACCCCAATGAATCCAACGCCCGCCCTAAACTCACGTTTGGCCCAAAACCACTCTAAACCAATCCTAAACCGCCACGAAACCCACCCTAAACCACCACTAAAACTAGAACCAACCTTCAAACCAAACCCTAAAAGCCAACCCTAAAGAAACCCTAGACTATCCCTCAACCAACTCTAAACCTACCCTAAGCCAATCCCGAAACCCACCCTAACCCCACCCCAACCCTGAGTCCGCACTAAGTTTGTATTATTCTGAATAGATGCTGGTTTAGAGTGGGTTTGTACTATACGATCCGCACTAAAGCAGCACAAAGCCATTGCTAATAAGCCCACCTCAAACCACCCCCACTAAGCAAACTGAAGCAACCGCAAAATCAATCCCTAACCCCCCGTACACCAGCACTAAGCCCAAACTAAACCCGCTCTAAACCCACCCTTAACAAACCCAATGCAAACACGACACCAACCGCCCCCTACCCCCCCCCCCAAACAAACCAAGCCAACACTTAACCATCCCACCTAAACACAACCAACTCTGAACGCACCCTAAACCAGCCCTAAACCAGCCCTAAACCAGCCCTAAACCAGCCCTAAACCCCTGAACCAACCCCAAGAAGCACACCATTAACCAGCACTATACCATCCCAGTACCTAAAGCGCAGCCAGCCCCAAACTTGCCCTAAACAAGCCTGGAACCCACCATGAACCAACCCTAGCCAACCTAAACCCACCCTAAACCCAGCCTAACAAATCCAACTCGTGATGCTGAGGATATTGAAAAGGATGCTGCTGAGTTAAAACGATGCAGGGGATGTTGATAGCGCCGGTGCAAACCGAGTCAAAACACAGCAGAACCAAAAGAGATCGCACCGGCCAGTTCCAGGACATAAAATCCAGGAAAAAATCCCAAAACAACACAGGAAAATTCCCAAGACAAATCGGGGCCCCAAAAATAGGAAACAAGAGAGAACCATTTGGAGGGATCGCCATGTTATCAAAATGCTCGTTGGCGCAAACCATGACGCAATTCAGATTTCTGACATGCCAGGTGTGCAGGGACATGGAGCACTTTTGATGACTTGTGCATTTTGTCAGCTGGCGCACTCCCAATCTCTAGTTTCATGGTCTTTCACTACTTACTTATGAACATTGATCCATGAGCCATGGTCAAAATTGCCTGGGTGGAAAATGGTCCTGGCTTCTGTGATCCGTAGCTGCCCCCAAATCCCTGTTAAAGCAATCCGTTTGAACCTATTTCAGGGTTTGGCCGAGTTTCACCCCAATATGAGTTTGTGATTTACTCTGAAACCTGCTGGAAGTGTTGTGATTTGTCTATCTCTCTTTTTTCATTATATATAGAACTACGTATATACACATCATATGTGCACACAGTATTAAATGCATATGCCCACCTTGGGTACCTCGCCAGGGTTTTGGGCTCCAGCGCTCTCCGCAGGCGGGCGCAATCCGCTGCGCGCGGGAGCTGATGGGCCGCGAGAAGCTGGTCGGGAGCTCGCGAGAGAGTTTACGCCATCGCCCGTCCCCTCCGTTCTTGAGCCAAGTGTGGGAAGATAAATTTTACTTTTGGCCCCGAAGGGAGGTTGCCCAAAGTAGGAATGCCCCTGTTCTGACATGGTTACATTGTGGCGCACCGTGGAAAGGGGGGCCTTCTATTTTCACTCAACTGCATGCCAGCTTCTTGCAGCCAACTTGCGTCAGAGTCGTATGTATCCTGTCATATGTTAAAGCGTTGCCTCCCCCCGCATCAAATAGCAAGTGTTGGTGTCGGGTCTCATGAGGTGGGCTTGATTCCACGTGAGTTTTTAGGCGTGTGCGTGTTTCAAGTAGACAACAAGTAGCATGGCCATGATTTCTGCAGATCTTCATATCATTGCGCATCCTGCCACTTGTGTTTGCTACCGGTCTTCCATCACTGCTCTTCACAGCATCAATAAGATTACAGGATGGTTGTCCAGCCTTGAGGTTTACAAGTCATCCTCAGAGGATGGATATCCTCACTCAGCTGCTCCGATCGTGCAATACGGTTTATTTTCCAACCCTGCAGCTCCACTTGTCGGAGATATCCAGCATTGTGGAAGACCAAATGACACAGTGAAGTAATCACGGTGAAGTAGGTGATCCGAAGGGGCAGTGAGGTCGGAGTGGTCAGCGGCAGCGCAGTTCAAGCGAAGGCCGGGATTGGTTCAAGGAAAACGCGCTGCAGACACTCAATGCAATGTGTGGTCGATCCAGTAGTCCTTTACATGGGATGGCCATTGGGGAAAACCACTAAAACATACTAAAACGCTGATATTTCCCAGTGAGTGCCAAAAGGTACCCAAGGTCATGTTGCGGGCCAGGAAAATTGATCAACCCCCGTGTCTTAACATGTCTCTCGAGTGCGCAGGCACTGTCAGCTGCAGTCCAAGAAGGTGGTTTGCCGGCGCTGAGCCAAGAATGGTGGGAGGTTTTCAGTCTGGGCCTTCGGGCCTTGCCTTGTGCATAAGAGACTCGCACTTGGGTATTCGATGGTTTTTCACTGAGCTTTTTCTGGGGCCAGAGGGCCAAATTTCAAGCCCAAATCTCTTCGATCGTTATTTGTCGGAATCGCCGGGGAATTTTCGCCTCCCGTTGCAGACCGCACACCGGTGGCCAGCGGATCGCAGCTGAGGTTGGCGTGGGCACCTGGTCCTCGGGCGAGCTCATAAGCCGGACGCTTGCCTTGAGTGTTGCCTGACAGACAGCCGAGCGGAGTGGTTTGGGATGAGTGTTCCGTAGAGAAATGCCGGATTGCTCAGCCCGAATTCCCCTTGTTTCTTCGGGAGGCTTGTACTCAACCCATGACTTCACTTGGTGGTTCTGTTTGGTGCACGCCGCATGTGGTGCTTGCCCTTCCCTGTGCAGGACGCTGCAAGGCAAAGCCACCTGTGAGGCGGCGGTGGGGGGACTGAAGGAGGAAAGCTTAGTTGACTCTTCAACAGAGTTCCTCCACAGACCTATCTTGTTGGCCGATTTCTTGGGCTACAACCTGCGAGTTCTAAGTTCGGATGGCCAGTGTCTGCGCGCAGGCGCTCTCCGAACTGCCTGAGCGACCTCGGGTCATCGAGTTGCAGCCTCGGTCACGTATGTGGCTCAAACGCATCGACCTGAGAGAGTGCAGGTGGGCATGTTCCCCCGACAGCCCACAGCTCGATGTTGTTGCCGCGGGTTTTCCGTTACTTCTTCTCTGTCGCCCAGTGGTAGATGGCTCTTTATTCAGACTAATTTCGCAGCGCACGAACTCATTTGGATTACGCTGTCTTATTTGTTCAGTTTCATAATGCGAGCCGTGTACAGACACCGAAGAGTCAGCCCTCATATTGCCCCCGCGTCCAAGTCGCCTTCAACACCTCGCGGTCCGCGCACCGGGCCACAACACCTGCTAGCCCCCAGCCAGAAACCACCCGCTCAACCAGCAACCGCTCAACGGTCCGCATGTTTATTCCTACACCCAGTCACCATATTCCCACATTAAATCCTACACCCTAAGCCCTAAGAAGCCTTGGCCCCCAGTCACTCAGAGGCATCCCGTCGCCCATCGCTCGGATCGATCCGAGGCTGGGCGCCTTTGTGAAGCCCCGGAAGTGGGCGGAGCTGCGGTCGCCGGCCCTGGAAGGCGCAGCCGCGCCTGGAGGAAGTCATGGGAGCCCTGGGCGAAGATGGATAGATGATGTGCGCATAGATTATGAGTATACAGTATACATAGATCATATACAGATCCTTGGTATACAGATATGGCTGCGAGTCAATTTATAAGGTCCGGAACAGGGTCCGGAACCCACATGCGATCCAGACCTCCGTTCCAGACCTCCGTTCCAGACCTTGCCTAGAAACATGTTCCAGACCTTCCGTTCCAGACCTTGTTTATGTTTATGTCTAGAGTGTTGATTCAGATGGTCGTTCTTTGTCGGGTGTGCCAAAGACTGAAATGGCGTGGAGCAAGAAAGAAGGAGCAAATGAGCAAGAAAGAAGGAGAAAGAAATGAAGACAGGAGTATCGGTGTTCCGGAACTTTGGTTCGGTTCGGTGCGATACGACTCCGCCGCTATCGGTTCGATACGATACGGTAACGGTTCGATACCGTTCTCGGTCGTCACATTGTTGAAACGACCATGTTTACATGCTGCTTGCTAGCATTCGAAAGTGCAAGCCACTCGCGTAACCGTTCCAGACCCCGTTCCAGACCCCGTTCCAGACCCGTTCCAGACGTGTTCCAGACGCAGCGGAGCAATTTGCCACCAAGTCCACATGCACAATGCGCCATGTAAGTAGCTGCGCTTCTTACGTGGCCCGCCACCCAAGAAGCCTTCAAGGACGACGTGTGCCAGGGCTTTGGAGGCAAAGAAGTCTTTGAAGGATGCCCTGCATCGGCTTGCGCGTCGGTGGACATCGGCTTACGCCTCCCAGCCTTGTGCATCGGCTGGTGCGGGTGGCGGGCCTGCCTACGGCGCAACGATGGCGGGGGAGGTGAGGCCGCGTGCCCCTGGTCGCTTCATCCATCCATCTGCCCATCCATCCATTCATCCGTCCATCTATCCATCTTACACCAAATGAACGTGTGCTTGACAACTCCACGCATGTCTTCCCAGAAATCCGGAACAACCGACCTTGCGTAACTGACTCGTTCCAGACGTCCGCGTCACCGCGGAACGTTCCACACCAGAATATTGACCCACACCCATATGTATATAATGCAAATTTGCTCCCCCACCCCCACCACCCCCTACGGGTGGACCGGTGCTTTGTTGGTTTTGGAAGTGCAGTCTTCTGTAGCGCTTGCCGCTCTCTTCATGGATCAACCACCAGTGGTCGTGGCATGAGGCGTTAGGGCGTGCATCGGGAGCCAAATTGGTCCATGTTCAATTTGATGCCATAGGGGGAACGATATTGCTGGGACACAGCTTGAACTGCGAAACTGTGTGTGTGGTGTGTGTGTGTGTGTGTTGCGTGTTTGCCTTCTGTTTCGAAGTTGACAGTTTGAGTATGCGTCATGTTCCATGACTAGCTTATTTGTGTGCTGCCATTCAATTCAGAGGCAATAAACAACAGAAGGTATACATGGTTTGGCCTGTTGCGTGAATAAATGGTTGCCAGGCGGTTTTACTGTCTTTGACACGTGGCCAGACTTGACAGAACAACAGCTCCTTTTCATCTTGCCATCCCTCAACAGCGGGGGGAAGCAACCCCGGAGCAGTGCAGGTCTGGTAAGAGCAGGACATGTTCGGAGAGTGGAGTCTGTGGAGAATGCTGACTTCTGCTACTGGGATGTGCAGGAGCTGCATCTGCACATGCGATTGCGTGTCAATAAAATCCAGCTCGTTCAGCATGTTGCTGCTACGTCGGCAACATGTGGCGCGTTCATTCGGTTCCTCACACTGCCAAATGAGCCCACACTACCATGCAGTGCCCAAAGGAGAATGTTGAGTGGGACAACAGCGTCTCGAGAAGGCTGTGGGCTTGAGGCTGATCTAAACCTCTAAGCTACTTCGACTCAAGGCCTTGCCGTATGCCAGGAGGGCGACAAGCTCGATCCCTGGCTGGAGGCCGCGGCGAGTCTTTTGTGTAAGCCCCATGAAAGGATTGGCTCGAGTGCGCCTCAAGGGAAGCCAAGCAACCAAGCAACCAAGCAACCAAAGCGGGCTCGTGGCATCCGGATCCATCAACATGTGCCCTGAAGAACAGATTGCAGCCACTGCCGCTGTCGCGCATCGGACAACTCTCTGGCCAGCTTGGATGGGCTGTTGGGCAACGATCTGAGGCAGCTGTGGAGCTTTGTGCTGACCTGAAGGCGGGGGCAGGCCGTTGCAAGTGGTTCTCAAGGCGCTCAACACTGGGCCTCCTCCCATCCCGCATGGAAATGTTGATTTGACCCAAATGTGACTTGCAGAGTGAATGTCAATGAATCGAGTCGCGCCTGAGTTTCCGATGGATGGAAACTGGGCGATTTGGCAGAAGAGCGTTTGTGAACACAATGACGTGCTGAATCAAGCAGCTTTGTTCATTTCGATGACATCAACATGTTGCCACTGAACGACCCAAATTGAGACGTCAAGTATTCAGGCTCCCTCCAATTTATATGCCGATTGCCAGCAACCTGTTTGAAGGGTGAAACACGCGCACACCCACACACTCACACACACTCAGACTAGCCCCCCCAGATGTGTCAGCATGAGGCAGTGAACGGATTTTACCCGGATTTTTGCATTGAAGGTTGGATTTCGAGGATCCGCACCCAAACGTCTCAATGGTTTCTTTGGTACGGCCCGAAAAGGAGTTTCGCCAAGAAGCAAAGCGCACCAAAGAGCACCGCGCACTCAGATACCCCTGGTGCAGCCCCAGTGGAGCCAAAGAGCTCTGGAGAAGATGGCGCCGGGGCCCTTTGGGATCACTCGAAACCGGCAGGCGGGTCGATGCTGGGCGGTTGAAGTTCCTGAGACGGGTATCTCAAACAATTCGACTCAAGAGTCGAATGGATCTGAAGTCGGAATCAAGTCGGCTGGTGGGCAACGAGGATTGTTTGGCTGCCGAGCCAAGATGCATCACCTGTGGTGTGGCTGGCTGGGTATCATGAATGAGGACTTGGATTGTTCCGTAGTATGATGTCTTTCAGTTTAATCAAGCGGAGAGTCGGACCCGGCTGATATGGAGCTAATAGATTAGCTGAACGTATGGATTCCCCAAGTCATCAACCCCCAGTATTGGGGATAGTACCCGACTTTCTGGGTCCGAGTTTGGTCCACTTGATTGAAGGGAGGACACTCCAGACATCAAGCAGCCGGGAGAGCTAAGACTGGGTGGCCGTGGTTCAAGTGAGTCATGTCCAGTTGGTTAATTACCCCTGGGGCCTTCACTGGAGCTATTATGTATAATCTGCATAATTTCTGGAAATAAATTAGACATGCCCTGTGTTCTTCTTTGTGTGCAGCAAACACTTTCACCTTCGTAACTTTGCATTATGGCTTCGCCATATCTCCGCCTGAGGCCTTTGCTGGATCGTTCTGGCACGTTGGAAGGGGTCACTGAGAAGATGAGAAGGCGCCATGCGGCATGCCAGGTAAATTCAATACGAGTGGGTGGGGCCAAGCTCATCTTGGTGGGAGGCTTTTCGGTGCCCTGGGTGACTCCTTGATCCATGTGGTCCCCAGCAAAAAGTCCCATAATTTTGAGGTGCCCCCCAAAGATTGAAGCCGCCGTCCTTGATAATTTCGGTCCGGGCGCAACCTCCAGGCTGGGCGGCCGGGTGCTGTCCGTGGGCAAGCTGGACGACTGCTTGCAGGGCTTGGCCTGGGCCCGGCGCTCAGCTTGAGTCACGCGCTCGGCGCTCCAAGGGTGCCTCGCTTTGAGGCGATTTTGACAAACGCATGTGGCGTTTCATGTCTTCCAGGGGTCATGAAAGGTTCTTTACGATTTGCCAGTCACAGGGAGAACAACAGGGTATAAATTGATTGCACCAGCCGACCTTCGGAAGATTTATGTCACAAAGGACGCCGGGATTCGGTTCCTTTGGTGCACGCAGGACTTGTCCCCACGGGATGTGCTGCTGGTGACCTCTCGTTTGGGGGACCTGGTCGAGGCTGGATCCAGGGTTTGGCGGCTGCAGTCAAGAGCGCCAAAATGGCAAAATTTGGACAGAAACAACCAAAAGGTTTGGATAACGAAGGCGGTTGCAACACAGACCTGTGTCCATACGTGCTCGGGCGGGGGGCGGTGGTGGGGGGAGGTGAACCTGCGTCCGTGTGGACCATATTGTCGGGGCCAGAAGCCAGCCTTCCCCAACAATCTTGTAGAAACTTTGCTTGTTACACCCGTTGAACCGTTTTCTCAGGCATCAGAAAGACTGCGTGGCCGCTTGTTGCAGTTCTTTGTTTGGCAAGTATACAAGGGAAGCCAAATTGAGCCTATTTCGGCTGATTTCAACGTGTTGGAACCCCATGAGCAACTCACCAGATGGACGACACAGGCCGCCCAGCTGGGGGCAGACGCTCTGCTACTCTTTGGCCCGAGCGTGCAGGGGCAGCTGGGCGCTTGGCGGGAGGCGGGGTGGAAAGTGAGAAGTGCGTTGGAGTGGGCAACGTGACTCTGACTGTACGCAGTCAGCCATTCGCTTCTCTCAGGCTGGTGAGTGCTCTTTCAAGCAATTACTGTATTTGGGAATTTGGGAGTTGTGTTTAGCTTGCGACATAGATCTCTTGATGTAGCGTGGGGTTTTCTGCCGCCCCGAGTCAGGGAAGGGGAGTCTTGTCGCAAGGCACAGAGGCAGAGCCAGACCGAGAGGCGCAAGACCCTGTCGGTGTCCGCGCCCTAGAGCCAGAGCTCGCCCGCGGTTCCTGTGGCACAAGAACGGGGAGGTGGCGTCATGCGAAGCAGCCAAGCTTTTCCGTCGGTCCACCTTGAATCATTCAACATTGCAAGCATACAGCACATGTCGTATCTTCCAGCTACTCCAAAAGGAACCCTTTGTCAGAACCCCAAGTCGGATTCCACTCCTTCAGCGGCCAATGCTTGCATCGGTGTGGATTGTAGCGCTGCATGTTGCATGTCATGAGGCTTGTATTTCTTGATTCCAGTGGACCTCTTTGGGTGAGCTGAGTGCTTCGACCTGTTTCTTTGGCCTCGGCGGAGGTCTCAGCGGGTTGCTGAAGACTCCCCTGGCATGATGGCTGCCGCCAAGCACTCAAGTCATACGCTCTTCGCTATGCTTGAATCAAGAAGTTGGATCAAAGGCGATTTGAGACAACATGGCAAGCCACAAGGATGTGTCATCTTTGAATGGGGAGGTTGCTGTTGGATCAAAGGTAGCAAGAATGGATTCGTAACAAACCCTTGCGAGGCCACCAACCCCTTCCTCTCGGTCTTCCAACTGCCTAGCCTGCTGGCAGAGGAGCGGAGCTCAGCGAGTGGTTCGGTTGGGGCGCGAGCTAAGACTTAAGATCTCAGTGTCTTCCCCCAGCGAAGTCGGTGAGAATGTGTCAGAAGCTAAGAGGGGCTGCAAACAAATGGTTTTAGAAAGTTTCATTCTGGCCTTGTTGGAGGAGGACACGCCTCCCGTCTCCGCAGGCGACGTCGCGGAACCTCAAGCACAGGGAGGCCCAGCGTGCCGGAAGTGGCACCGCAAGCGGCGAGGCCAAGGCGCACGGGTCTTGTTTGAAAAGGCAACTCAAGGGTCGCTTGTTCTGAATGCATTCCCAGGCCTCAGGCTTCAAATGGCTGCGGGTCAAGAATGGGTACCCCACATGGAACCCTGGTACGTGGAAACATGGACCAAAACCTGCGGTCTGGTGGTTTAATTTTGACCCCCAAATGGCGGGTGTGCGCATGTGACAATCATCTCACGAGTTTTGTTCAAGGCAGAGCTCAAGGACGCTCGCCGGCAGCAGGCCGTACTGCCTGGGGAGGGAGGTGAAGGGTGCCTTCGTCTGACAATGATGTCAGATTGCCCCGCTGTGTACAGTGCCTTTTGGGCTCCTTATCAACTTCAACCGGGCCAAGTAGCTAGTGTGTAGGATATGCATGGCCATGGGCGAGCATGTTCAATTCGGTTTTCAGGGTGGAGTTTCCCTTGGTCCGCGGCAGAGGCCACCCCAGAAGATGCGCCAGACATGGAGATGCTGGGGAAGTGGCCTTGAGCTCAGCCGCCGGAAGCACTGTGAGTCTTTTTGACTCCTTTCAAACACAGGCCATGCACGCAACTCGTGTTGTCACGAAGTGAAGCCCGAACCGTCCCCCAAAGTGCTCCGATTTCTAGGAGGCGACGAATGGACATCAGCAGTCATCCTTTTCGACGTCTCCACGTGCCAAGTTTTGACCTTTGTTTCGGACGGCAACTGCGTACAGATTCGACGTCTCGCCGTTAGGTGCGAGGTGGAAAAGATACAGCCGCCCGTGGCCATGGCCGGGCACCTGGTGGAGCACAAACCCAGAGATGTGCTTGAACAACGGATTGTGGTAAGGGGAGTGGAAGCCAGCACAGGTTTGATCCACTTTGCTTGAGAAGTTGTGTATGCTGGAGTCAAACTGCCATGTTTTTTGTTTGCAATTTCGTGGGCCATGGAGCCACTCACGACTTGTTCATTAAGCGACCGGTCCAAACGCGCTCACGCTAATGACGTGGAAGCAGCTATTGGCAGGCTGCCTTTGCAACACCCGCCTTGCTTTGCTCCGGCGGAAGAGCATACTGGGCAACAGGTGTCAGTGTCAGGCTGATGCGGAATATTTTTCTGGCCCACGTCAAGTCGCTTGAACCTGATCACAGATGTACGTAAGGGATGGCCATGTTTTGTTTGGGGAACAGCGTCTTTGGTCGTTCCACTAGGAGGGGCCGAGGGTGGGCCCCTCTTCTAGAAGGGGCAGTGGTGACCTGTCAGGAAACTGGCAGCAATGTCTAAACCGGTCCAAAAGCAGAAGGACAGTCAGTCGATGTTCAGTGTGGATTTCTTTAGCAGCTTTCCTGGAAGCCAGGTCTTTTGTAGCGATGCTCGTAGCATGTTTGGTTTCACCTTCGGTCGTTTGAGTGCCGGTTGTGTTCTGAGGCACAGCCATGCTGGCAAACATACTACTACAATTTTCCTTGAACCGAGGTTTGAAGGTAGGCTCACGTGTGAGTGAGTGGAGTCAAGGCGTTGGGTAAGGCAGGTGTGCCAAAGTCGTTTGACTGTCGCTACCTGGTAAAGTCTCAGCTCTCATAATCCTGCGTTTGTGGATGGGCGCCGCTGACACACACTTGGAAAATCCATCCAAAGGATTAGCAAGTTCGAAGTTTGAATTTGGCACGGCAGGTACACTGGGTTGATCAGACCCAGCATCCTGAGGTCACCATAGAGAGCTGTCAAAGGTGTTTTGTGGCTTCTCTTTGCCATCAGAGGGTGCACGCACGCGTCGCCCCATTTGGGTGACTTGTTTTGCTTCACTCACGTGAGCTCGCTGATCGGTTTTCAGAATCAATATGGCGCCTGCTGCCTTTGGCGCAGGAACCGTTCTGCGAAACTTCCTACACGTGCATGTCAAGACGAGAGCTTTGACACCCTCTTCAGCTTGGCTGATAGGAAAACAATTCGCGATGCCACGCGCAATCTGCTGTTGACGGCCGCCAGTTTATGGGCCATGCTTCCAGCAGAATTCAAAGGGCGGAAATGAAAGCGCTCTGCTGGATACATGAAGGCAAGCTGCCGTGGTGTAGGATCAACAATGGTGCCTAGAAATTGCCCGTCAGTAACCTGTTCTAGCTCCACTGGCGATCTGTAGAAATTGAGAGCGCGTAGTTCTTCCACACGCGGGTCTTGAAGCAGTTGAACGGAAGCAGACACCAGTCGATTATCTACGTGTCTGCCTATGTAGTTTGGTGTCGGTGTCTCACAAGCCATGGCCGGTTGTTCCTATCCAGTGTTGGTTTTTCTCGAAACCACTGCACTTGCCAGAGTCGGCGTACCTGTTGAAGTACTGTGCCCCGTTGCAGAAAAATCAAACTCCGGATCGATAATTCACACAGAGCTGGGATATCATCAGAAAGTATGAGTTGCGCATTTCAAAATACGCTTGTAGCCGCGGAACACACGTTGTTTAACATCCTAGAAGGAAACGCCGTAAAGCGACTGGCTGTGAGTTGCAACGAATTGGCAATAGTGGTCAACCATCTGGCGGACAGTCTCCGGGTGTCGAAGTAAGAAAGCCGATTACGTGATTGAACTGCTCGAGGCGCAAGTCTTCTGAAGCGTTGCGCAGGTGCGCGTGCGACTGTCGAAACATCTGCGGCATGGAGGGCCCGTCGGAAAAACCCATGGATTCTTGAAATTGTTTTAATCCTATCCTTTCCGCAGCAGCGCGTCTTACGCGACCTGTGGACAGTATGCTTGCACGACCACTGAGATCCCCGCATTGAAAAAAGGCATCCTCCTCATGTTCTGAGGCATGGTGTCCATGTGCGTCAGACGGACGCTGTGTGAAAGCTGTGTTGCGTGTTCTAATAGCAGCCCTGTCTCAATAGTGCAGCGCGTCCCACCACTCAGGCCAACGCCACAGCAACGTGTGGATCATGAGAGACACCACCATGGTAGGCGCCGTCATCGAGAAAACAGCCAAGCGCCGAAAAAGCTGTTGAGGCTTGAGGCTCGCAAAAATTGCCGGGGGGGGCGGGCTGCGCTCGCTGGATCGAGCCGACCCCCTTGGCAGTGGCATAGTGGATCCAAACCACGCATGCTTCAAGTGGGTTTTGTCCGACTCACCACCGTCACTTGGTATGACTTTCCAGGCCAAGGAACTGGTCAAAAGGAGCAGTTTTGGCATCACACGCTCTCGATGAAAGACTGAAACACATACGACATTGGTGCTTGCCATTGGCTTGAGCACATAATTGCTCGAGCGTAGTGAAAGAGCCCGAAGGGGTTGGTTGACATCGGGTTTGCGGAAATCAAGGGTTGCCATGGGCCGAAGTCGCAGGAGCCACAGACCGTTGTACAAAGGCCGATGAGATCTCAAAAGCTGTATGATCAGTGGCTGGCCCTCACGAATGGCTCTTTGACAGAAACCAGCCGAATACACAATTGAGCGATCCATCCAGAAGATTGGGTGGAGCAGACCCAGCAGCCCGGGGTCACCGTTGGGCAGAGCTCTATGGGCCTCCTCCTGCCCTCCTGCTGCACGGTGGTGTTACACCCACACACACACCCTGCCGTGTCGAAATGGCCTTGCAGCTCAAACAACGGTCGCCAGGTCCCAAGGCTCTCCCCCACTTGCTGCATCAAAGGATGTTTTTATGGTTTCTCTTTGCCACCAGAGGGCGCACGCGCGCACACACACACACGCGCACACAAATTGTTCGGCTGCGAGAGTCCTCGCCCAGATGCCCTCGCTCTTGTGGGATGACCAGCCGCCGAGCGCAAGCCAGGAGCCTTTTGAACTTAGAGCTGTTGTTCAGCGTGATTTGACAGAACGCCAACCACTGGTTGCAGCTACAAGATCGCTTTGGCAAAGGCCAACTTGCTGAAGGGCGACCCACGCGGCCCCAATACTCCCAATAGGTTGGGTTTGTCAATCCATAACGGCCGGTTGACTCGCTTGAAGGCCGTGCAACTAAAGGACACACTGAGCACTTTCTAAAGCTGCTCTCAAGCAATTCCAGCTCACGAAACTTCAGGCTTGTTGGGATGCAACTCAATGTTAGATTGGGGGCTTTCTCTGTTGAGCTTGGTGCCGCTCCGGGCCCATCACCAGGAGCGGCGCAGCGTTGGCAGCCTGCCGAAGGAGCCAGCGCCGCGCCCCTCGAAGCCACGGCAAGCTGCCAGCGCCAAGGAGCCTGCGACGGCGACGGCCGGGTACGGGAGCCAAGGGATTCACGGCGTTTGACCAGCGTCCAGCAAACGAACATCTGGAAGTTCAATCATCGGTCGAATTTGCAAGATCTGTTTGAAGGATTTAGGTGGCGTTGGGTGTTGTGTCATTCGTATCTCCTGGAATGGATTGGCGAATAACCCTAAAGCCTTTGGGTGGTTGACTGAGCACCTCCTGAGCCAAGCACGGTCAAACACCTGTTCGGAGCAGCTCGCCCACGGGGCTGAGGCCAGAGTCCTTGGAGAGCTTGCTGGCACAGATGTCCCAAAAAAATGCTGCGCTTCATTGAAGTGCAATGAGCCACTTGACGCATTGAGCGACTCTCTCAGCTTGGTCGCGCGCCCCCGCCGTTGTCAGGCTTTCACCCCCTAGCGACACAGTGCTGCAACCACAAAGACACACACGCGCAGCATTGTCAGTGGGACTTGAGCCAACCGACAAGCGATCTAGTTTCGGATGGGTAGTCAATGTCCTGCACTCCTCAAGACAGACTATGTAGACTACACTCAGCCGCTCTTGGGCGGCGCAGGATCCGACAAGTATATGCCAAGGCAAAGGCGGCTAAGCCACCGTTCCTGGAGCCCAAGGTTCGTTTGTACTCGCCTCCCACTATGGTGACGGCGGCCAAGGCGGAAGCGGACAGGGGAGGGGCAATGCCAAGCCACTGGCAGCGGAATGAATGGCATTGCTTTGCCAGGATGCCATTTGTTTTTCGGTACGCGGGATTGACAATCGGCAGAGCTCAAGGTAGGATGCCATGCACATAGAGTGCTAGCTTCACAATCAGCAAGGTTGAGTGCAGCGGGATTTTTGCCTTCCGCCTGCAGGTTCAAGCACGGTCAAGCAGCAAGGACTCGCTGCGAGTGGACTAATTCATCCTGATTGGTCCACTTGAAGTTTGGAAGATCGGGGAAAGCAGGAACCGGAAGGGGGTCAATGAGTGAGGAATGAGTGAATAAGGCTGCGTTATGTGCAACAATTAGTTTTGTCAGGCCTGCACAAGCTTTGTATATAAGAGGCGGGGAGAAAGACGACGCCACACGGGTCACGTTGATTCAAGTTGCATTTTGTGCAGGTATCATAGGGGGGTCATCATCCCAGCTAGTCAGAGGGGTGGTCCAATTGGGACACATGATAGCTCCACCTAATTGAAAGACAACTATAAGCCCAGCGTAGCCTCTGATGTTGCGGTCCACAGTGTTCGGATTGTGTTGACATGTTTTGGCCAGAAGTTGCCTGAGCAAAGTCAACCGCACACGCCTTTGGAGCCATTGCCCCGAAAGGAGAGCCCAGGCAGGCTGTCTTCTTGCGCATGCTTGACAGTGGCTTGCATCACTGGCCGGCAGTTGGCCACCAGACTGCCCGAGCCAGACTCCCCGGCAATAAAGAATTTTGCTTCGCACTTGATCCCCTCAGCAGATAGCTAGGGGTCCTCGGCCGCCGCAACATCCTTGCTTTTCGAATCAACTCGCTGACATTGCAGGCTCCTCATCCTCCTTGCCAGAGGCAGTTGACCCAGTTCCGGTCAGTCTGGATGCGTGGAGAAATCAGTGGTGCATTCAAGAGTTTGGCATATCCCTGGGGCAGACACACAACCTGGCAAACTGCACACCCTGCATGCCCTCACATTGATCAGCAATTGAAGTCTCCTTGCTTCAGCAATTTGGGACTGACAGAGCCGGCTGCAGAGTTGCTCAGACTTCATTTCTGCAGGGAAGGGAGCGGCTTACTGAAGAAATTGAGCCTCTCAAACTGGCGGGTCAAACGTTGCGTAATGAGCCGCGCAGCTTTGTGTGGCTTGGCTGGAATTGGTTCAGGTCCACCCTTCGATCCCCACCCACGCCCACCAAATTGTCAGGAGTTGATTTATGGTCTATGGTTACTCCAGAGCCTTGAACGGGGGTGGTCGGGATTTGCTGCAGGCAGGTCCGCGGTACGTCAGCGGCGGCTCGTCATCCAGCATGTACCGGCTCCCGGAGGTGGCTCAGCTGCATGGAGATTCCAAGGCGGAACTGGTCACTCCGCAAGTGGGTTACACTGTGCCCTGTGTGGGTTACTGTGCAAGCTGCTCATTCGGGCCCTGTGTGGGTTACACTGTTTGCCCGAATAGTGTTGTTAGGGCGAGTAGTTGCTAGCTTTGTGTCTCTCGCGCAGCCTTGCCGAGCTGTCAGAGGTGGTGCGATCAAGCAGTGTTGGCTTTGCATTTGTCTCTCAGGAACCGTCGCAGGAGGACAGCGAGGACTGAAGCGGTTTAGGCGATTTCATTCTGCAAAGATCAATCATGTCCACCACAATGCTGGAGGCTCGCTGTGCCATCCAGGTCAAAACATGTGGCTAGTCGGGATTGTGATCGATTATTTGGCAAGGATTGCAGACGACAAGTGACATGAAAGTCTATCAGCCAAGTGCCAAGACAGGGGCAAGTGAATGGCAGACGTGCAGTATGTCACGGACTTGCATTCCAATTTGATATAGTGGCAGGATGTAGAACAGCAGAACACTTGCATTGTATCCAGCTTGCGAAAGACTCGCCGTGAGTGTTGGATTGTAAAGGACAGCATCGGGCTTGAACCTACGGAAAGCTGTTTGTGCATTGAACCGCAGAGGACGCAGACATGCCACTGAGTTTCGGAGAGCAGTTGGTGGGCTCCTCAGCGTGAGTATTGGTGGTATGTTGCGTGCTGGTTACTTGGATACCCCTCTTGGGGTAAGTGACAAGTGCATCTGACCAAGACTGGTTGGCGAGGCGGTTGCCGTGGGTTGGGTCGAAATGGTTAGCGACAGGTTGTGGGGGGAGGGACACCTTTGCCTTTCGCAGGTGCTGGAGACGTACTTGCGGTTTCGGGGCCGGCGCTACGACCGGCAGCGGCAAGTGCTTTGGCGGCATGTTTGCTATGCGAAGTTTTGCCAGGTCGGTCACCCCGCGCCAACACCGGAGTGTTGGGTACACTTGACAAGCGGATCAGACATTGCATGATATTGCATGTCAAAGGAAAGCAAGGACCCCCGTTTCTAGAGTCCATCGGACCACGGCGCCTGCCAACATTAAAACTCACGTGGGACAATGTTGCTATCAACAAGATGCACACCTGCATGCATTGGGCATCCGAGATACTGTACAACAGTCCACAGCTGCCCTTTGATTTGAGACAGCACAGTAAATCAAAGCGCAACCTCTGCAAGTGATGGAGGACACAGCCTGCCGCCTTGGTAGCGTTGGTGTCTTTGCGCATATTTGAGGGTTGATCAAAAGGTCCTTCACATTGGGGTGACCATTAGGGAACCCACAAAGATGACTTTCGCTAAATGGGGGAAAGTTACGCATGGTCATTTTGGGGCAAGGACTATTGACTATTGATCAAGCCCCCATTTGTAAGTTCATGAATTCTGTTGTCTCACTCCTACCACTTCCTTCCACCCCTTCCATCCATTCGTCCTTAGGAGGAGCTGTCCCAGCCGCGGCGGCTGAAGGCGCCACCTCCTACAGGCTCGCTCCGGCTGAGTGCTCCGGCTGATTGCTCGGTCCATCGTCTTGCTGGTGCGATAGGTAGGGAATGACGGGTGTTGGGAATAAACCGTTTGGGAGTGCCCTTAAAGGAACCATAGGGGATGGTTTATAGGGGTCATTCCAACTCATTCCCTTCCTCTTTGGGTGCAGAATGAAACCTCGCAAGAAGGGGTCCCTAGTTTTGACACCTTTGCAACAGTGCACGTTGCCTGGTCTGATCATCTCCGGGTCTAAAGCTGAGGTTAACTAGCCCCAATGAACCCATGTCTCGTTTGTTTGTTGTGCTGCACCACGGGTTCCCGAGCATGTCTGACGGTTTTGGGCCTTTGAGGCCCTTTCTCTCGTTCAAGAAGCCCTTTCGGGTGGATGTGTCCGGGTTGGCAGTTCTTTTGGGTTCAGAGCACGGAGATGTGGCTAGGCGCTATTGCACAAGGGATGGCAAGGACCTGTGGGAAAGGATGGGGGTCCCCAGATAGCGTCAGCAATCTGAGAATCGAACGTCGGCATCCAGACCGTCAGGCCGTCAGCGGAAACCTTTGGAAAGGGAGCAGGCGGGCCGGGCGAGATTGGAACCCGACAGCCTAAATGAGGTATACTGTTGGCTTGCCAGCTTTGGCTTTCCCGGCTTGGTCCATGTGTTGCCATCAAAATCGGTCGGCCTGTCAACCTGTTTGATTTCCATGCCATCGCTGTTGTTGGATCAGCAAGGGTTGGGCATTGCATTGGTGCCTTCAGCTCTCCAACGAGCTTGGCAGGGTGCTGCCCAATATTTCCCGTGCGTTTGTTGGCATGCGCCAGGTGGATCACTTGCTGGAGCGACTTGCGCAGCCCAAGAGGTGGGACAAGCTGTGGCTGCTTGGGACTTTCTCCCACTGCACATAGGGAGTGTCAGGGAGCCCTTTTCTCTTCAATATAGTGTTGCCACCCCAGCAGCATGTGGTTTCCAATGAAAGACACCCATTTTGCCTGACCGACAGCTGGCCGGCCACTGCAAGCAACATCCCTTTTCCACTCTCGAACCAATCAATATGGAATTGCCAAAGCCACGCCCTCCCAAGATGAAGTCTGGTTTTCTAAAACTTTATAGACGCCCTGGTCTCCGAAGCCGCTTCATCAGGCTGTGATGCAACTGGTTCGCGTCTTCTTGTATGCATGTCCCTTTGTGGTTGATCTAGTGTGTCCATCGTTTGTCATCTTGATGCTCTCTGTGCGTGCGTGCGTGCGTGCGTGCGTGCGTGGGTGGGTGGGTGGGTGGGTGGGTGGTGCAGGCGGCGTTCGAACCTTTTGAACCTTCTGCCTTTCACGCCATGCCGGTTTGGCTGAGGTTATGAGGCAGAATGCGCCCACTCGGCCGACGTTTGAACCATCGCACTCTTGAGCAACACCCAAGCACTCAAATGACCAACTTGCTTTCACGTGCTTTTGGCAGGCGCAGCAGGATCCACCGCTTACTTAACGCGGATTGTTTTATACACATCATTGCAAGTAGACAAACCAGGAGCTCTCTCCCTTGCAACTTGGAGGCTTCAACCCTGTTTCCAGGGGCGGCAAAGCAACGGACTCTGGCGAGTTGCTCGCGGGGTCCTCGGCATGCCCGTGCGATGCGAATTGTGTGGATTTGCTAATCTTTGTGGATAATGTGAGCATTCCCAAGAGCATCACGACGAGCAGATATGTGAAGTGCATGTTGCGACTGGCATGCCTGCAAGGGAAACAAAGCCCGATCCTCTTCATGCCTTGTCATTTGTGCGGTTCTCACCGCTGTTTGTTGTGTTGCCCCCTGCGGGACAGGATGATGCCAGCATCTTGCACGCATGGCTGATTGGTTTCATGTGCTGAGTGGGCGCGGTACGTCAGGGCTGTTTGTTTTGCTCCAACCACCGCAAAACAACCCAGTTGTGGCTGATTTTTGAGGGGAGCCGTCCCGGGTTGTGACGCTCACACTGGGCTACATGACCTTCAACGTATTGGGGGCTTGCGGTCGAGGCTCTTCACTCCTCGCGGCAAGAGATGGTGAAGCAGCGAGCTGTGCAGGCCGGAGCTGTGAAGGTAGGATTCATCCCTGGGGTCCCGGCGAAAGTGCGCGCACCGCCCGTGGGGTTGCTGGATTGAACGCTTCAAGTGGAGGGGTGTCTTCAAGAAGACCCATCAATGGGAACGCGTGTTCACAGGACCAGACCTTTCGGATGCCCGAACTGAGTCTTGCAGGTTGCACTTGCTTCACTCACTCGGGTCTTCCGTAGCCCACCGAGCCGGCGAGGCCAAAGATGTCGAGGCGACCTTCGCGCGCCTAGCGGCGCCGAAGACAGCGCGGGGGTGCGCCTTTTTGAGCGATATAGGCGGTCGGATGGTGAGGATGAGACAATACTGGCGATATGTTCCAGTCGCAAAATGGCAAGTTCTTGAAAGGAGACAAAATCAGGAATTGAAAGCGAAGGCAACCTCGCGAAGGTTGTGTGGCAAACACTTGATCGAGGTCCTTTGCCGGCCAGCAGCAGATTTCTTCTCAAGGTCCACATTGTTCGAATAGATCCCTGCAGTCAAGTTGAAAATTCTGTGTTTCGCTCAGTCACTCTGATTGAGCCAAACATTACCGTGAGCGCACCACCGGCTTTGTCATGCTCAGGTACGACCCTACACCCGGCGAGAAAGTCTGCCTGATGTACCAGCAACAAACTCCCAGGCCGCCCGTGATAAGCGCGCCCCCTGAAAACGCTGAAATTCGAAAGACGGCATGTTATTTAAAATTTGTGCTTTTTGGCATGTATTGTATCCCAGTGGTGCAAAGGGCTGGTTTTTGCCTGGGTCACTGCATCTGCCAGGGGCGTCAACTTTGAACGTCTCGCAGATATGGCGAAGCCCAAGAAGCGCGGAGGCCGGGAGTGTTTTCTGGTCGGATGCACAGGATTGAGAAAGCAACAAAAAGGCCGGGGAGTAAAACATTGGCTCCTTATGCTGCTAGTGCTGAGTTGGGAATGACGGGTTTTGGGAATGAACCGGAAGGGGATTCCCTCAAAGAAACCCACAAAGGATGGTTTTAGGGGCTGAGAGGCAGCAACTTCTCATTGTTTGGCAGGGCTTTCTGGATTGTGCTTGACCGAGCGCCGTGCACGCAACTCACCGGAAGGCGAGTTGTGGCCGGTCGGCCAGAAGGCGCCGGCTGCCATGCAAGGATCCATTGCAGAGACCAGGTGCTATGCGTAGGGCAGATTTCAGCAAGATGCAGTAGACTAGATGCAGCACTCTGCGCCATCTTCCAAAACCCGAGAATCGCTGCTTCCGTTTTATTTTTGCCATGCTTTCTTCAGGGCAGAAGGTGTGAGCCAAGATTGCAAGTTTGCTTAGCAAATTGATCTCCTGTTTTGCTCAGGGCCGGCACGGCCTGCTCCCTGCCCTTGCAGCGGCCTCGATTGCATTTGAGTCTGACATGGCATGTATCTAGCTGAAATGAGTCGCTTCCCTAAACCGCTTGGTCGTCTTCTTCCCGCTTGAAAGGGCCCATGAAAATTGGCTGTGGCATGTTCATGTGATGGCAGTGCTAGAATCAGCGGCCTATCATTTCGAGCTGCAAATCCGAGGCGTCGCCCCGAACTCCGCCTGAAGGCGATGCTCGGGCGATGGGGCGGAACGGGGTGGGTGCTTCAAGGGGACCCATACTAAATGTGGGTTTTCCGGTTTTCCTGCTGGTTTCCGATTGAACCCACAAAAGGGTACCCTCAACAAAAGACAGAGGGTTTGAACTTTGGCCTGTTCAAACACTTCGTAAAAGCGGCAAACGTGACGCCGGGGGGTTCCTGAGATGGCGAGTTGTTTGTCCGCAATGAGGTAATCTAAAGTTTGGCCGCTCAAGAGGCGCATGCTTAGGGATCGATAGACTGTCAAAGTCACTGAAAGTATTATGACCACCACAGGGGACGACAACCATTCTGCCAGTTAATGTGCTGTTCGGCACGGAGACGTGCAAGGAGAAGTGCTGCACACAATGCATGAACGACATGTTACGATTTGATTGTGTGGTTTGGAAACAAGCTTGAGCCCATTGCAGTGGATGTTTTCCCAATGAAAGACAGGTGCTAGTCAATCATTGAAGTGCGTCTCACTTGGAAATTGTATGCAGATACGATGTGGTTTAGTCGCGAAAATATAATGGCAACGAATCTGGTCATTTGAGGTTCATTTGTTTTGCCAGTTGTTCTACCTTTGGGGAATGCAGCAGCCGCAAGACTCATACCGTACGCTGCGAAATCCTGCGGAGTCTGAGACATTGTGTGACTGCATGTCTTTAAGAGCCAAGCCAAAGTGGGGTGCAAGCTAAGACGAACACCATATAAGGTGACCGGGAGGGTTGAACCCACTGCCAGATGGTGACAACTTTGTCCGGCCCCCAGCTACGGGTCCTGTGCCGGGCCTTCTCAAACTCATGAGCACTCTTTTGGTTGTCATTTAAAGGGAAGCCAAAAAACATTCTCGCTTTAGATGTATGCATCATTTGCTTCAGCTTGAAACTCGCAGAATGGTTTGAAAGACACATGATGCAACGCTCAATTGTAAGGCCTGCTTTAGACCAAACTGTGGCCTCTTTATTTGGCCATATGTGTTCTGCCTGGACTCAAAGGGAAATGCGCACGTAACAGGCTACGTAATAAGTCATGTAAATGGTTTTGTGTGTCTGTGTGAGCACCTTGTCTGCCTTTCTGCTGTGGCTTGTGACCCTCCCGACTTGGAACATCAAAGTATTTCGCCAGGTTACTGATGCGCGTTGTGAGACAACAGCATATGGTCTGAGGCCAGTCATGATCGGGTGTCATTTGCAAAACGGCATGTCCCACTTTTTGCAGGCAGTGTAACAGGCAGTTAAGATTCGCGTATCTATCACCATGTGCGCCCTTGACTTTCACCCAGCTAGTGTGCACTCACCCTTCCTTGTTTGCTTGCAGCCAAGTTTGCCAAACAGTGCGCCGGCCCGGCATAGGCCCACGTTAAGCGACATACAGCTTCGCCTTTTTGTAGCCAGGTTGCCTGTGGATCACAGCTCTTGCCTAATTGACTCCACACATGTATTAGATATGCGCCGGGCCGGCGCAAAAGCGCCACATGTCTTTGCTTAATCGCCTTCAATCATGCCTTAGATTTGTGCCGTGCCGGCGCAAATGCGCCACTTGTTCTTGCCTAATTGCTCCAAGCTTGCCTTATATTTATACTGGGCCGGCGCAAATGCGCCACGTGTTCGAAGATTTGCGCTGGATCGGCGCAACGCACCCCGTTTCTATTCATGGCCTAGTTTTCATGGACCTTATCTCGCTTGCGTGTCAGTTTTGCGCGGAGGCTTCCAATCAAATCTATTACTTGCTTTCAGACAAGCCCCACCCCCGCCTGTTCAATGGCCAGCGCAGATGCCCGCCCCGTGCACCCCTCACAACCTTGAACTTGCTGTCAGATTTGTATTGCCTTTCAACCTGAATGACAGGTGCCCCATCCTAACAAATCTATCCAATTGTTGGTGTTGTGTTTCGCTTTTCTCGCGCGTTCCTGTTTGTCCCTTGCGACCTTTCCACACGCAGTCTCGTTTTCGTGCTAAAAGTTGCTGTTGCTCGTGTGCAGACCGCCCACGTGCAACAGTCGCTGGTTCCGCCGGCGTTCTCGAGCAGCAGCTTTGGCTGGCTGAACGGTTCAGAACGGTTCCGAACGGTTCCTGGGTGGTCAGCGGGCACGGCGCGCAAGTGGTAAAGTTTAGTTGCTAGCAGTTGGCGGTCCTCGCGTGAGCAGTATGCAAACTCGTCAGGCGCCAGGCGGCTCGTCCAATAGGCCGCGCACTTCTCCAATCCTGAAGCAAGGGGCTGTGTATTTTTGCACCCACGGGCTGTCCTGAAAAGATGCCTTGCTTTTGGTTTTGCACCGCTCAGTTCGCAACATTTGCGCGAAAGTACCGCATACCTGAAAGTTTGCTCTGTTTTTTTTCTCATGGGCTATCTTAGGTCCAGGTCAATCTGATTTCCCTGGGTTCAGGCTTCCCAGTTAGCGCGGCGGAGGGAAACCAATCGTCCGTTGCCAAGCGCTAATGGCTTTGTTATTTTCTAAACACGCAAGCTTTCTGCGTTAATGAAATTGCTGAAATGGTTCATTGGCAACTCAACTCATGCAGGAGTGTGCCCAAACACTTAATCAGCAGAACCGTTCTGAACCGTTCCTGAAAAGTATGCAGGCTGAAGCCTGAACCGTTCTGAACCGTTCAAGTTGCGAGCGTGTGCTAGCCCATCTTGGTTCAGAACCGTTCTGAACCGTTCTGAACCGTTCCGATCCCAGCCGTGCCACGGAACCGTTCTGAACCGTTCTCAGGCATGATGCCCGGAAACGCAAGAACCGTTCTGAACCGTTCCGAAGCTGTCGATATCATTCAAGTTGTGAACCATAAGTACTAGCATGTAGTTACGATTGCTGCTTCTAATGTTTGATCCGCTTATTATGTGTTGGCAAAGGCCTCTAGCAAGACGACAGCAGGGCACGAGCGCAATACCGTGCCAGGAAAGGTCATGTTCCCACTGTCGCACCCTAGGCTCTAACAACACATCAACTGTTTTGCCTTGTGCAAATCCTAACTCAGACGCCTAGAAACCCTGTTAGCGAGTAGTTGGCTGCACTTGGGGTTGATGTGGCCGTGGCAGGGGCAGGGCTAGCTTGCAACATCGCCCGTGACGTGTGCTGAGACGTTGGCTTTTACATGGCTTTCTGGGTTAAGGACACGTCCACACATAAAGAGGCCACAGTTTGGTCTAAGGCCTGCTGGAATAGCTACTCCATCTTGTTGGCAAACCAAGTTGCAAAAGATTGTGACCGCTGCCTCATTGAGATTAAGCAAACCACAGGCACCTGCTTCGAGCGCTCCGGGTGAAGCAGTACCAGTTGAGCAAGCGGCGCCAGCTCCGCAGCAAGCAGTGAACCAGCATGCAGTACCACTTGAGCGGACAGAGCCAGCCGATCAACCATCACCAGCAGCGCCAGTGGGAGCAACACTAGTTGAGCAAGCGGCGCCAGCTCCGCACAAAGCAGTGGACCAGCATGCAGTACCACTTGAGAAGACAGCGCCAGCCGAGCAAACAGCGCCAGCAGTGCCAGTGGCAGCACCACCGGGTGGACAAGCAGTGCCGGTTGAGCAAGCGGCGCCAGCTCCGCAACAAGCAGGGAACCAGCATGCAGTACCACTTGAGCCGACAGCGCCAGCCGAGCAACCAGCGCCAGCAGTGCCAGTGGCAGCACCACCGGGTGGACAAGCAGTGCCAGTTGAGCAGGCGGCAGCTCCGCAGCAAGCAGGGAACCAGCATGCAGTACCACTTGAGCAAACAGCACCAGCCGAGCAACCAGCGCCAGCAGTGCCGGTGGCAGCACCACCGGGTGGACAAGTAGTGCCAGTTGAGCAAGCGGCGCCAGCTCCGCAACAAGCAGGGAACCAGCATGCAGTACCACTTGAGCAGACAGCGCCAGCCGAGCAACCAGGGCCAGCAGTGGCAGCACCACCGGGTGGACAAGCAGTGCCGGTTGAACAAGCGGCGCCAGCTCCGCAACAAGCAGTGAACCAGCATGCAGTACCACTTGAGCAGACAGTGCCAGCTGAGCAACCAGCGCCAGCAGTGCCAGTGGCAGCACCACCGGGTGGACAAGCAGTGCCAGTTGAGCAAGCAGCGCCAGCTCCGCAACAAGCAGGGAACCAGCATGCAGTACCACTTGAGCAGACAGCGCCAGGTGAGCAACCAGCGCCAGCAGTGCCAGTGGCAGCACCACCGGGTGGACAAGCAGTGCCAGTTGAGCAACTGGCGCCAGCTTCGCAGAAGGCAGTGAACCAGCATGCAATGCCACTTGAGCAGACAGCGCCAGATGAGCAACCAGCTCCAGCAGTGCCAGTGGCAGCACCACCGAGTGGACAAGCAGTGCCAGTTGAGCAAGCGGCGCCAGCTCCGCAGCAGGCAGTGAACCAGAATGCAGTACCACTTGAGCAGACAGCTCCAGCCGAGCAACCAGCGCCAGCAGTGCCAGTGGCAGCACCACCGGGTGGACAAGCAGTACCAGTTGAGCAAGCTGCGCCAGCTCCGCAGCAGGCAGTGAACCAGCATGCAGCACCACTTGAGCCGACAGCGCCGGGTGAGCAACCAGCACCAGCAGCGCCAGCACCAGCAGTGGTAGCAGCGCCAGTGGCAGCAGCTCCAGCGCCAGCACCAGCAGTGGTAGCAGCGCCAGTGGCAGCAGCGCCAGCGGCAGCAGCGCCAGCGGCAGCAGGGGCAGCAGCGCCAGTGGCAGCAGCGCCAGCGGCAGCAGCGCCAGCGGCAGCAGCGCCAGGGGCAGCAGCGCCAGGAACAGCCCCAACACCAGCCCCTGTGGTTGAGCATGCAGTATCACTTGAGCAGACGCCGGCGGCCGGGCAGCAGGCGTCAGCACTACCAGAGAGGCACGTGGAGCAAGCGCTGCCAACTCAGCAAAATCCAGCGTTGGGACATGCAGTGCCTGTAGAACAAACAAGACCCCAGCCGGTCCAGCCGGTCCAGCCGGTCCAGCCGCCAGCGCCCAAACCAGCTTCATCCAGGGAGGAAGTTGTTGGCGTGCAAGAAGTGCAGTCTGAGCAGCATGCGCACAGACCATCACCTTCCAGTGGACTGACCCAGGATCCTCCAGACAATCAATGGAACGATGCGACCGATCCAAAGCAGTTTGCGCAAGCTCAAAGCAGTGAACGTGAGGCGGGAATGCTTTGGCATCCGAAGACACGATCTCATGGTCCGTATTTTCCGAGAAACCTCCGGTCGAGTATTTGCTGGTTAGACAAGAGTTTGATCTATAGTCCGTGCTGTAGATATCAGAAGTGCCAATGAACCGTTTCACGTACGCGCGCACACACACACACATCACACCGCATGGCATAGCATGGCATGTCATCACATCGACATCGCCGCATCGCATCACATCACATCACGCAGACAGGCACAAAACACACACACACACCACAGGCAACAAGCCCTCCCTCCGAGTAATAAAACGCGCCCCCACAGAGTGATGAGGCCGCATTTGAAATGTGGACCAAAATCAAGAAACATCGAGAACGCATTGTTGTTTTTTCAAATAGGATCTTCAATTAGGCGGGAAGCGATCAACAAACAATGCACAGACACAGTCACACAATTACACATTTGCACCATGGCACGCAATCACACGCATACACAAGCACCCACGTATACACAAACAAACAAAATGCACAAACATGCAGTCAACACACGCACGTGCGAACGCGCGAACGCGCACGCGCACACACACACACAGTCATAATGACACGATCACACAATGACACGATCACACAATGACACGATCACACAATCACAGACACACACACACACCATCACACAATCACACAAACACACCATCACGAGAACACAATCAAGACACACACACACACAACCACACAAACACACAAACACACAAACACACAAACACACAAACACACAAACACACACAAACACACACACACACACACACACACACACACACACACACACACACACACACACACACACACACACACACACACACACACACACACACACACACACACACACACACACACACACACACACACACACACACACACACACACACACACACACACACACACACACACACACACACACACACACACACACACACACACACACACACACACACACACACACACACACACACACACACACACACACACACACACACACACACACACACACACACACACACACACACACACACACACACACACACACACACACACACACACACACACTCACACACACTCACACACACTCACACACACTCACACACACTCACACACACTCACACACAATCACACACAATCACACTCAATCACACTCAATCACACTCAATCACACTCAATCACACTCAATCACACTCAATCACACTCAATCACACTCAATCACACTCAATCACACTCAATCACACTCAATCACACTCAATCACACTCAATCACACTCAATCACACAGTCACACACAATCACACACAATCACACACACAATCACACACACAATCACACACAATCACACACAATCACACACACACAATGACACACACACACACACAATCACACACACAATCACACACACACAATCACACAATCACACACAATCACGCACCATCACACACAATCACACACACAATCACACACCATCACACACCGTCACACACCATCACACTATCACAGAATCACACAGTCACATAGACACACAATCCCAGAATCACACAATCACAAATACAAGCACCAACCTCGCCAAAGCAGGTGGGGATGTCATAGCTTGCCCTGTGCGTTACTTGTTGCTCAGGCGATCAGAGAGAAGGGCACCGCTGAGCCCTTGAGAGTGGGATTCGAGCCAACTGAAGATGACCGTGAGGCGAGGGATCCAGTGCCTAATTTGCTATAGTACAGGATTTCTCCCCCCGTGCGACTGCTCCCATCAGACCATCTCACGGGCAAGGACATAGCCTGAATCGATCTGTAAATGAGTCATAATTTGGGGACCCCCCCCCGCTTGGCTAGGTTTCCTACATGTACGTCCTCCAAACAGCAGTCCTCAAGGGAGCACCTTGTCTAAGAATAAACCAGCAACTTGCAAACGCGGAAAGGAGGCCCAGTTGATGGAGCACTTCCAGGAAGACACATACAAGAAGGCACGCTTTCCTTGAGACGGCAGCAGACTCGGGACGAAGTGATGGAAGACGGGTCCCAAACCTGGAAAAGAAGAAAGAACTGATTTTGATTTGGTTTGATTTCAACATGCCAAAAAGACTCAGGGTTCAAGGGGGCGCATGCAAGGATCCAAGATGTCCATCAAAAGTGCCCAGCAATCTTGGATCTTGGATCTTGGATCCAGCTTCCTTAACACCCGGTATTAAGAAACTAATTACAGTACTAAGAAACCTTCATACCGGTATGAAGGGTTCAAGGGGAGGCATTCAAGGATCCAATATTTTCCTCACAAGTCCCCAGCAATCTTGGATGATGCATCTTGGATCCAGATTCTTGAATACCGGGTATTAAGGAAGCTGCACAGCAGTACTAAGAAGTCTTAATACCGGTACTAAGGTTTTAGGGGGGCATTCATGGATCCAAGATTTCCCTCAAAAGTCCCCCAGCAATTGTGGCTCCTGGATCTTAGATCCAGATTCCTTACATTAAGGAAACTGCATGACAGTGCCAAGACACCTTAAAACCGGTATTAGGAATTATGGCACACCCCCTCGTTTGGTGCCGATATTCGGCCAACATTATGAAGCAATCCCGAAAAATGTGGCTAACATGCAGAGAAGCGGGGGCATGAAGGGAGGTAAGGTGTCATTTGACTGACCTTCCTGTGTGTGACGAACAGTTTCCGATCTGTGGCAACAGGCCCTTGCCTTCAAAGCCATGGAGTCTGATGGTTACATCGATGAGGAGAGAGGCTAAAGTGGCAGGGCCATTTGATCATGTGGGTTTGGTCTTGAACATCCGTCAGGGGGATACCATGTTGAGAAAACGGTGAGGTTCCTTGCACTTGGATCATTCCAATGCTCGATTCCATGTGCTCAGCTGTTCCGATTCTTGGACTGGCACGCCAACGCCCCGACTTTGGGAATTGAGCGATCAGTGAAAGGAGTCAAACGCCGCAGAGTGTTTGGTGGTGTTTTGCACGAACAGGAATTAGGACCATGTTCTCAGGGGTAGACGAGAGAAAGGGTTCTGCCAAGAATCAGCTCGAGTACCCAAAGTGCGCAATTCCGAATTTCATATTTGTCTATGAAAAGTGGTTGGTGGACATAAGTCCCCACCTAAATGATGTCCACCGCAGGGTCCCTAATTAAAATCCATACCCATCTATAGATTGCCAGATTTTAAATTTGCCGGTTGCTCAACTCGGGTATGCCAATGAGATTGGATTGGGTTCCTTTCGGGCGTTGAAGACATGCTGCTCAGCCCTGCTAAAGAAAAAGAATCACCGGCCTGCCGAACACCTCGAAGAACGCATGTGGGAACAGATGTGGCTACAGTTTGGTCGGCCAGAGTGATTACAAATGAGTGCGTGTGAGAGAGATAGGGCGACAGAGTTTCAGCAGCACTGCCTGGTGCTCAACCCATTGTTTTACTCATGGAAAACGTTGCAAGACTAGGCCGTGGAGAAGAGTATGTTCCTTGGTTTCCTCTTTCAGTCTTTGACCTGATCTTCAGCAATTCAGCGGCCTGCAAAGCGAAACCGCCGTTCTGTTGTTCTGCTGGTTTCCATGGTTGAAGGATCAGAAGGGTAGCCATGAAAGATCCTTTGCCTGTAAAAGTGGCTTTCCACCAAGGGTTGTTGTCCTTGGGGAATGAACCGATGGATCGCTTTGTGCACGGCTCGCAGGATGAAGCTAGCCCCCTGCCAGTCAGCGAGCCTGGATGAGAATCAGGGCAGCTCTGGCATTTGCTGGAGTCAAGACGGATTTCTCATGAGGCATTCTGGGCATGCAGTGCTTGTTGTTGCGGTTGAGGTAGCATTTGCAGTTGCGGCCGCAGGTTCTGGTTGTGGTTGTCGTGGTCGTGGTTGTGGTGGTCGTGGTCGTGGTGGTGGTGGTTCTTGGTTCCTGGTTGTTTTTCAATGACATGATAAACCCATGCCTGCGTGGTGGATCCCAAAGGTTTCGCGATTATTACTAGACAAAGCAGGTCCGACGAAGATGCTCACCCATGATTCCTAAGCATGTAAGTCAAAGAGCAATGAGTTGATGATCTCTAGCCACAACATGTGGAGAAGATATAGGCTTGCTCCTTTCAGCCCCCATGTTTGCTCTGTATTTGTACTGGGCTTCTTTTGTCTCTTCCTGCCGAGGCCGCCTCTGCGCTTAGCCAGAATCAGGCCAGCTGTTTCAGGGATCTCGCAATGGGTTCGACGCTCAAGCGACAGGCTGGATCCTGAGGTTGGGGAATATGTTGACGGAGCAAAACGAGCGGGCCATCCAAGATCACGCTTCTTTAATCAAGTGCTGGTGCGGCTCGTGCTGTGCTCCCACGGCAGGACCGGAAGAGCTTTATGTGCCGAGCTTGGAGCAGAAAGACTACCTAACGTTGAGGGAGGTGCCTTTTCTTGACAGACCCCAAGTTGCACTGCGGACTTGGGGGGATGCCTTCAAAGTGAAGTTGGCCAGGAAAAGGAACGTATTTGATCTGAGAGTTCAGCCCTACTGTCTGGCAATAATGTGCAACATAAGTTTGAGCTTTGCTTGCTAACCTTCAAGAAGTTGCTGCTGCCCGCAACCAAGTTCTACAGTATTCAACCGGTCAAGCTGCAAGGGATCGCAAGGGCACCCGTTTAAAATGCAAAGCAACACAAGTCTTGATGCATGGTTGTTGCACTAGCCTAACTGGGTGTCGCATCTGTTTCGCGCAACTTTTCTTCCGCAATGTGTCAACACATCAAGAAAGGCATAGTTCAAGCCCTTGGCCTTTCAGGCAAAGCATAGATCGGACAGATAGTGCCTCAGGTACTGTGTCGCAAACAAAGTGCCCTGATTGTGGGGACGAGAGTGCTGAGGCGGTGCGCAACATGCTGCCCGCCCAATAGTACTGCTGGCACCATCATCATGGTGCTGCCGTGATGCTGGATTGTCATAGTTGCCCTTGTCGCCGCCATGCCGAATCCTGGAATCCTGTTTCGTCTTTGGCTGAGTAGGCGATCCAAGACATCGCCACGAGATGGCACACGAGTGAACTGCGAAAGAGTTGCCAATGTCCATTGTCTTGAATGACTTTGGCGAGTAGGCAATTGCCACATTGGCTTCTGTGCCGTCTCATTTGTGTCGCAGCCATCGGCGTGATGGCCCCTCATCCCCCGTCGTGCGGGCAAATGCCCCCTGCCTTCTGAGAGAGTTCGCTGGCATTTCAGTGTTTTCTGCCCATTACTGGGGGCTTTGGGGAAAGAAGCAAAACAAGGCGCAATTCCAAGGGCAATCTGGAAGCTTCCGGCTCACGATCCTGTTGGAATCAAATCGACAATCAATTGTCAATCCTCTGCATCATCGTGATGCCTCCCGCAGTAGTCAGTACACTATGGCGCATCTTGGCGATGCGAGCAGAGTCGATCGTCCATAATGTCGACGTGTTGCTCATGCCACTGAGATGCCCACCGCATCATCTTGAGGCTTCTCCGGCTATCCAAGCGTTGCTTGCGTCATATCTTGCTGCCTGCGTTGCGCTGGTGCTGCCGCGCCGTGATGCTGCCTGCGAATGGCTTGGCAGAGTTTGTTGCGAAGATGTTGCCTGCCGCGGTCAATGTTGTTTCGGCTCACTTGGTTCATGGGAGGCCATCGGCTTCCACCCTGCCTGAGGCCGCCAGCAGATCTGCCCGGCATGGACAGCGAGGCACCGGGATATGTAAATTCGACAGATGGCATCTTCCTCCCACTTGTGGCGGATTTGTTTTTTAAATACAGAATGCCAACAAGCAACCCGGCGAGGTGCTCCGAACTTGTCACCCACGAGACAGGAAGTCATTGATTTGTTACATCTCGTGTTGCGACAAATTGGCAATTGCCGAGGTTTGCCGAAGTTCTTTGCTGCTGACCTCAACTGCTTGCTTGGTGTGCCCATTTTGTGTTGTGTATTCGACCTTGAATCGAAGCAGCAAATGGCCCAGCGTTGTGTCTAGCTTTGCTCGAGTGGGGCTGGCGCGAGTCGTGCAGTCCCAGGACCAGTCGGACGATGATGAGGCGATCGTCCTGCCACATTTCGGTTGCAGCCTGAGACTGTTCAAGCCAGAGAGTTTGAGCAAGATGGTGTCAGCCCCTGCTTGCTTGCGCCGGGCTTGCTTTGGACTTTTGCACAAATTTCAAGCTCCTTGTGGTGAGTTTCTCTCGCTCTGGTTACAGGCTGCCTTCTGACGACATGATTTGTTCCGCATATTGACGTGGTCGCGTCTTCCAGAATTCAACGCCCTTTTCATTTGCAAGGAGTTGAACAAGAAAGACTGCAGGCGAACCCGCTGGTAATATTGCTGCCACCCGGCGACAGGTGCGCGTGGCCAAAACGGCTGAGGCTCGGACTTCACGAGTCGCGTTTCCCAAAGTATTGGCCTTTCTTGTGTTCAGTGAAGAATCACGGGTTTTGAGAATGAACCTGGATTCCCTCAAAGGAAACCATAAGGGATGGTGTGTATAAAGGTCATTCCCTCATTCCCCTGCTGAGAACCAGCAAGGCTAAATGTCCGAACTACAAGCCGACCATGTCGAAGCTTGCTGTCAGTTCACAGCTCGAATTGTGCTTGCTATGTCAGGCGCGTGGATTGGCGATGGCAAGAGCCAAGCTCAAGGCGTATCGTTTCACCTGTCAGGCGTTGTAAATAGTTTGGAATATGAGCGAACTACTGCTTGATTTCCTGCGCCATGCTTCATTTGCATGGCTTTCTCAGATATTGCCAGACAGCTCAGAAATTAACAATTACAATTGGTACGTAATAATTATTGTCCAAAAATTAAGATTGCCCGGCTGGAAAGTGAGAATATAAGAATGAAAGAAGGAAGGAGAGATTAATAGGTGAGAGAACGAATTGGACGAAGAGTTTGTTTTGTGGTTTATATGAATTCTTGTTCGAAATGTTGATTGGAATTTGAAATGTTGATTTTACTTAATATATATGATATATGTTTATATTTTTATATATATATATATTTTTTAAATAAACCGGTATGGCCTCGAGGTCGTATTTTTGAATATTGATAAATTGTTTTAGTGATACTCTGGCTAAATTGGGACGAATGATTATATTTGGGTTATATCTTGTTTTTCCGGGATATAAGCTTTTCTTTTTTTTATGGTTTGGATTATTTGTAAATTTTAAAATTGTATTATTTTTTTTTATAATTTGGTTTAGAGTTAATTTGTTTGAAATTTGGGTTGTTTTTGGTGATATGGTGTTTGTTTTTCTTTTGCTTAAATTTTATTTTTTTCTGTTTTTTATTTTTTTTTGATTGTTTTTATTGTTATTATTGATTGTTTGCTTGCTCCCTCCTCTCTTTTCCTTTTTCTTTTGTTCTTTTTCTTTTTTTTTATTTTTTTTTTTTTTTTTTTTTTTTTCATCTTTTTTCTCTTTCTTTTTCTCTTTTTCTTTTTTTTTCTCTCGTTGGTGCCGTTTTATCGCCCACAGGATGAGGGATAACTTGTTTAGGTCTTATTGGGGTATTGGCTGGTTTTTCCTAGCATCGGAGATATTTTTGGGGAGTTATTATTTCCACCTCGGGCATCTCCGCGAGATAACTCTTCTTGCTATATGGTTTTTTTCTCTTTCTCTTTCTCTTTCTTTCTTTCTTTCTCTTTTTCCATTTCTCTTTTATTCTTTCTTTTTTTATCTATCTCTTTTCTTGTGTTTACCTTTTTTCTTTTGTTTTTCTCTTTTTATTTTTCTTTTTTTCCTTTTCTTTCTTCTCTCTCTTTTTGTCTTTCTCTTTTTCTTTTCTTGTCTCTATTGTTCTCTTCTTTTTGTTATTGTTTTTCCTTTTTTTCGTTGTGATATTTTCTTCTTTTCGTTTGTCTCTTTGTTGCTCTCTTTTTTCTATCGTTTTCTCTCTCTCTTTCTCTCTTTTTTTGTCCTTTTTGGTTGATTTTTTTGTTGGTATTGACGTTGATGGAATTAATGTATTTTTTTAGTATAGAATAAAACGGGATATTGAAATATATGTTTGTAGGTTATAATATTATTTTTGGATTGGATTTGATAAATATTATTTATGTTGTTTTTTATATAATAATTATTTTTTTTTGATTATGAAAACAATTTATTAGATTGGATAATCATATGAGATTATGTATAATTTTTGTAATTTAACATTTTATAAATTTATATTTATTGAACATTCGAAATATATATTATTTATACAAAAAAAAGACATTATTTTTATAATTGTTGAATTTGATTTAAAATCTATTATATAATAAATATATATTGATATATCTATATTATGAAAAATCAAATTAATTTTATAAATTTAAATTGGATTGTCTTTATGATCGTTTAAAGATTAAAACATTTATAAACTAAAATATAGGAAAATATATTTATATTTATATCTTAGAAATTAATTAAATATATTTATATTTATATATTAAATATATATATATATAATATATAATAATTCTAATTTAAAATTAATTAAAAACAAAAAAATATATAATTACTTATATTATTCATCTCATTATTATTTTTTAAAATTAAAAAATATATTGAAATTATTAATATTTTATTTCATTTAATATATATATATATATTTATATGGGTTAAATATATATATAAATATATAAATATATATAATATTTATTATATTAAATATAAATATATATAATATATAATAATTCTAATTTAAAATTAACTAAAATAAATAAAATACATAATTAATTCTATTATTTATTTCATTATGATTTTTTAAAATTAAAAAATATATTGAAATTGGGATTTTGATTATTTGTTTTTTCATTTAATATATATATATATATATTTTTATATGGTTTAAATCTATATATATATATATATATAAATATATAACTATATATAATATTTAATATATACAATATAATATATATATATAATATAATATATATATAAGAATATTATAAATGTATTATTATTATTGTTATTTTATTTATTATAAATAATTATATTATTTTAAATTTATTTTGAGATTATTAGTAGTATTAATTAATATATATATATATAAATTTTATTATTATTATTTATATAATAATTATTTATAAGGTATTATTATGTATTTATATTTTAAGGGAGGCCTATTATTTTCTAGTATTATATGAAATAAATCTTCAAAAAAAAATAACATTAGAGTATACAATAAAAATTATTCCAAAAAATAATCATAAACAAATATATATAATATATGATCATATTGAAAAAAAGAAAAAATAGATAATTAACCCGATTAAATATTTAACGAAATGCGATTTCGGAATATTTCGAGAAAATAATAGACGGGAAATTAGGTTCTATAAAAAAATAAAGTTGGTTAGCATTCCTAACGAAAGGCAAATTCTTCATACGACCATATGAAACTAGCCGTCCTTAGACAAAATTAAAAGATCTAGCTATTTTGCTAACAAAATTGCAATTGGCTTGATCATGCCGAAAACGCAATTGGCCTTTTTAAAACGGCCATTGGCTTTAATCTAGGCTTTGATAAATTTGTAAGACCCCGTCGCCGCCCGCGGCCATTGGCCTTAATAAAACATATACAATTAACGGCAGCCAAAATAAGCCGCAAGCTTTTGCCTTAGATCCTGCCAAGGCAAAACACATCGAAAGATTATATAAATGTGTTTCAAATACCCGATACCAACGTATAGACACACAATTAGTAAAATGCGGTCGGCTAAACAAAATAAGAACGGACCCATGCTCAAAAAACCCATTCACATATACAATTAATGCAAACGTACACGAAAACACGATCCATAAGAAAACATAAGCGCAAACAAAACCGAACCAATTTCGCGTAAAACATTAAGAAAAATACCGCTAGTCGTAACAACCGGCCACAACTTAGCGATTCTCATATCGCCAAACTCATGTAAAACGAACACAATATTTCAACAAAAATAACTATGGAATATCTAAATAAATTGTCTAACCTCCCAAAAAACGTCCTAGTACATTCGTTCCACAGCAAGCTTCGCCAATGCGGCTTCAATCAACCTAAGAGCCATATGCTCGAATCTCTCGAACTAGGCCGAAATCGACCAATTTCGTCTCGCCATTAACCTAAATCTTGGAACTTAGGTGCCCTTTTATGACACCCTTTTTAAGGCTAAACTAAAGGGAACCTCGAAAGGGAAAGCTTCAATTCCAATTTTAAAACAAGACAATTATTTCTTACTCTTCCATAATTCTTTAAACCAAAACAGGCCCACGCAACGCATCCAAAAGCTGGGCCAAAGTAGCGACCAGGTTTTCGGGCTTCATGTTCCAACGCGTATCAATAATCTCTATCGCTAAATTATTCAGATATAAGGCGATCCTACATAATAATCTCTATCGCCTATATAGTCTAAGACAATTGTTGGTTTGGATTGGTGGTTTGGGAATTAAACTCCTGGATTGATGGTTTAGGAATTGAACCCTTAGATTATATTGAAATTAAATGGGAAACCACCTCCTAATCTCCAAAATATCGATCCAAATTACTAATCCAAACCAATATTGGGGCAACCTAATATTACGTAAATTAACCTCCATGAATTCATGAAATCTAGCTGATATTGTATAGGTTAACCTCTATGAGTTCATAAAGTCCAGGGCCCGTTCCTCATGTTGCCGAGAGAGCTAGGATAATTCTGAGAGAAATTGGAGGATGCCACGAGGTTCGAAAACTAAATTAAAACGGATACCAAAAATAAAACAAATCATAAAAACAAATCTAACATATTCTAATCCATCAAAAACAATCCACAAACCGAGACCAGAGCGTCCACAAAGACGCAATCTCACGAAGCTTCATACACTCTTCCCAAAGCATCGCATAAGCAGAGCTCTTAGGGGCCAAGGTCCAGGCCGTGATGGGTCTACCAAGAATAGAGCAAATCTTAGAGAATCCATGCCGGCAGGACATTTTTTGCAAAAAAAATGAAGCACCAAGATATTTTATCGTATCATATATATATATATCAAAAATATGTATATTCTTTATGTACGAAAAACATATCATTCTCCAAATACAAGTCGAGAGATTTTCTAAGGAGCCGGATTAGTCGCGACAAGGTCGCGCCAAAAAATCAGTGAAAGGCGATCGCCTAAGCAAGGTAAGAACGGATCCACGGACTATTAATCTCAAAGATCCATCCATATATATAATTAATACGAATGCAAGCGAAAATACGATCGATTAGAAAAAATCTTAGGTGCAGGAAAAAAGCACCATTAGTCATAATAATCGGCCGCGCCTCATAATTTCTCGTATCGCCAAACTCTCGGAAAATGCACACAAGATTTTAGCCAAAATAATTACTATTCCCAAAATTTATATATGGTTTATTGCCAAAAAAATTATTATAATCAAATCACTAAAAATCATTCCACCTCAATGCACCCAAACCACTCATTCCCCCGATTTTCCAAATATATAAATTAACACACCATAATAACAATATAAATATATTTAATTAATTTCAAAAAAAAAAAACAATCAAATTCTTCCTATATATAAAAATATACAAAAATATCAAGAATTGGGTTAACCAAATTTATTTAAATCTAATTTTAACAATCAAAAAATATCATTTTTAGAATTTTTTGTTTTTTTAAATAATCATTATTATTAAAACATCAATCAACAAAAACATAAAATTATCTAAAATTACACAATAACTACATTCAAAACCCAAACCATTTTTCCAAAATATTCAAAATGTTCAACAATATACAAAAAAAAAATCCTACAAAAAATAAAACCACTATATCTTCCGAATTATAACCTAAATAATCCAAACACCTAACTAAATATTCAATAAAACCATATATAACAATTATATCTTCCAAAAACAACCCAAACCATTTATTTTTTAAACAATACAGAAAACAAAAAACATACGTACAAATATAACAAACAAATTTCATAAGCTCATTTTATAAAATAAATTTATTATTTTTATTATATATATATAATGTGTATTTATTAAATTTAAATACAAAAATATAATTTATAATATATATATATATTCAATTATTTATATTCTTTCTTATTAAAATAATAATAAAACCAAGAATTATAGTTTCCTTCTACCAAATCATTGTAATGAACCCGGTTGCAAAAGAAATGTTATACTCTTGAAAAGACCGAACCATCCTTTTCCATGGGAAAAGGGTAAGCGGATTTTGATGTTGCCAGTTGTTTGACTGTCGAAGGAGGCTGGCACTATCGACCTTTGTCAAGGGGCAGCTTGCGCATACAACAGAAGAACAACATTATTGAGGCAGCTGCATATTCGCAATTTGAAGTCAAAACCATACCTTTGGTATGAGGAGCTTGGCACCTGATCTACTGATCTGCTCGTCTATCCCTCATGGCAACAAGCATTCTGAATCTTTCCGACGCACGCAGGGCCCTCAGCCGGCAAGTCGGACTTTTGCCAGACCTGAATTCTCACTGTGACAATTCTAGTCTTGCTACGAGGTTTGCATGTAGGATCGCAATCGACTTCGTCAAACGAAAACGCCTCTCACATCCTTTCACCATTCTTAAAAAAAACAAAAACAAACAAGAAAAACAAAGAAAGAACAAAACAACACATCTTCGAGCTCACACTCATCGCAAGCACCCGAACCCCACAATGTCTTAACTCGTTGAGGCCATCAAGTGTCTTGACCACCTTCGCAACTTGATCATCTTTGGTGTGAGGGTGCATTTAAGTTGCGACACTCGATGCCGGTCAGCAAGCAAGTGCAGCATGCCTGGTCAGCACACTCTGCAGGTGCAACGCTGTGCAGGCCAAAGCGCTTGAGCTGGTGACAGCTCAGCCCCTGGCATGTATCGCCCGCACTTTGTCAGGCGACTGTCGATAGGCCCGCTCCTTTCGCTACTCCTCCTGCATTTCCGAGGGGGCAGTCCCCCTTCCTAACATGAAGGGAACGACCCGGGCCCCTGAAGTGTCCATCATCTGTGTTTTGGTATTGTACCAAGGCTCCATTAAGCATGACATCTTAGCTCCACCAAAGCATGCAGCATAGAACTGCTTGGAGTGGCAGAATGGCAGTTTTCCTTTTGGTTTCCCTTTAAAGCTGCCGAAAAAGGGGACCTCCAAAAAAGACACACCCATGTGAACACTCTTTGCCTCTGGCTCACTTGTCCAAATGTTCGGAACAAAATATTCACCTCTTGGGACCGCGAATTAAGACCCAACACCAGGAAAACCGATTCCGACATGTTCCAATGAAGGAACACGTATAAATACAAGCATAGTTGCCTCAAAGCCGTGATGATAGGTGGCTCAGTCAAACCACAAACACATGGATGCAAACACTTGCAGTATCAGTTCAACACACGCACAAAGATGCACAGCAGTAGCGGCCTTCAATGCAACGTGTATCATGAGCAGTAGCAAGCCATCACCACTTCATAAAAATTGTTTTCACATGGCCGCAGCAAATCATAAAGGGAACGAATCCCACTCTATATCCGTGGCCAGTGTACAGGAAGACTATGGAATTGGGGTGCCGCCAGTGCCGAGTCGTCAGGCCTAGTGCCTAAGTCCCACTTTACAGAAGCATCGGTCGGCTGGCAAGTGGCTGCTTCTGAACATTCAGATCTCAAAAACGGTATTCCCAGGAAAGGAGCTTTCATCCTGGGCAAAATCAGTCTGATGTACATGGGTCTCTGAAAAGGAGACTGCATATAGTGATTAAAGGCTAGCAACCAGCCCTTTCAGCGACACACTTTTCGCCCTTTGCGTGGAGGGATGGCGCCCACGATGGATTTCTTCTTTCAGCAACTGGGGTATACCAACTAGTTGTTGCATGTGTTTTTCTGGTCCACCGCCTCCGGTGAACTTTAAAAAAAAGCACTCAACAACACCCGTTCTTGTTCTGCCATGAAGTTAAACTTTCAATCTTTGCATTTTAAGATCTGCCACCTGCAAAGCAAGGGCAACATGTCTCAACGCTCTGCGAAATTGGTTTGCCGTCGAGAAGGCCAAAACAGCCGCTGACCGAGCAGTAATTAGAGGAGTGTTCAACACTCCGAATGCATTAGGCAGGCATTCCTCCAGCAGGCTGTCAAGCCAAAATGCGCTTACCAGCTTTCATCCACAGGGTAGATGGGTGCACGGTGAACATGATGTTGGTTTGATTTAACATGCACTCAATCAACGTCCTACTGCTCCCGTTTACGTGGCTTCCGTGGTTTTGAACATTGGGTCCATCATGGAAGATGGGTGGCCGCAATGGTTGCTTATTTTGGTGTGTGGTAGGTGTGCCATGGCCATAACTTCACTCTTGCGTGATTCATGGTCAGGGTTCTGTTTCCCGTGCTTTTAAATCAAGTGAACCCGTCGGCTGATAAACGCATGAACGTCTGTCAGGCGCGGTGCGGGCGCACACTGAAAGTCTTGGGACGCCTGTCTACACATCGGCCTGGATTTGCCCAGAATGCAAGCACAAAACAAAGGTAGTAGCTGGCGAGCAACACACAAGCCATCACCAAGCCGACCAGCCGACAGCTGTCTACAGAGTGACAGCAACATCGCTCTTCTTACTAGGGCTGCCCTCAGGCCGGCGGCCCAAGAGACGAGGGAAGGTGCCGACCTCGAGGGTGCTCATGAGGTCCTGGCCGGACATGGAACCTGGCAACCTGGCTGCCCGTCAGTTGCTGATCCGAACCTGGCTAAGGCTTGTTTGAACAAAAGAAGATGGGCAAGCAGCGCAATGTCAATGAGCCTCGGCTTTGTCATCTGGCTGATTTTGAGCGCTGGAACTGAGACATACTGAGCGAAGTACCGTTGTCGCTGTTTGCCCAGATTCATTCAGGTCAGGGAGATATGCTGGTTGCTGCTTCAAAAAGCTGGTTGCTGCTGAAACAGCAAGCGCATGATGAATGATCCTGCTGCATTCTTGTCAGGGAGATATGCTGTGGGCGATTCAAAGGGATTGAAGACAAAACGTGGAGCCAGCACAAACACACACACACACACTCACACACACACACACACACACAATCGTACCGCTTGTCACATGAAACTTGCGGCCTACGTCGCAGGCTCCTTGATTCGTGACTGGAAGGAACAGTTCGCCTGGTCCAAGACAGTCCGGATGCCTCGGAAGAAACGGCTTCCCACCTCGAGGTTGCCCACCTCCAAATAATTCCCAAAGACGCCAAAACTGAAAGCCATCGGGCCACAAATGCTGATGCCAATGGTGTCGCTTCGCTGATCAGTTTTTCTAGGTGTTGGTGGTTTGTCTATCTTTGAGCGCAATTAGACCATTTGGGGGTTGCCCGCAAGCACAGCTCCCCTCGTCGAATAATTTCAGGAGTTGATGAATTCTTTTGGGGCTGAAGAAGGTCGACCATTCTATAATATGCTTTACGCACGGAATGTGAACGAAACATACAGGGCTCCTGCTCAGGGGCTGTTGCCGCAAGCGAGCCTGTCCCGATTACAGCAACACGAGAGGCACATCAGGGTTTCAACGTGAACCACAAGGTTTTTAATGGCCACTCATACCGTGGGACTGTGGGAGCTACACAATTCATGCTGGCTTGAAAATTTGTGGCAAATTGATTCAGGCGAGTGGCGACATCTTGCAAAACATAAACAAAGCAACTTTAGTGACATATTTGTTGCGAGGTTTGGGTTCATAAGTTTGCCCCACGGTGCAAAGCTGCATCCGGGAAGGAGCCCCTTCATCAACCGCAACGACTCGCTGAAACAAAACCTGGCACGTAGCATGCCAATCATCAGGGGCAACTCCAGAAAAAGGAAAAAAACACTGCCTGCCTGCCTGCCTGCAGGCGACCAAGAGGCTCTCGCGCGCAAATTGGTTTACCTCTGCGAAGCCGCCAGGAACGGTTTGCTCCACGCACCGATCAATCATGGCCTTGTCCTCGCCAGGGCTGAGCCGGCTCTCCGATAAGCCCGACACCCTCCGCATGCTTTCAATCTTTGAGGCCGTCATGAGATCTGTCAGACATGTACACAATGTCTTCCAAACACTTAGCAGAATACCCAACTGACTCATGAATTGCAACATAGTCGAAGTTCAAAAACAATGAACCTTGCAATCATTTCCACATCCCAAGCAATACGTATGAACATCATAGCAGACTTCCTATTTTGACAAGCTCAAGAAAAGCAAGCCCCGTCGTTCAACCCAAAGAGATCTGCTCGGGTCCGTCCCTGAGCCCTGGTCCTCCGGCCGCGTGGCCTGCGCATCTTCCAGGCCTCGGCTTCCCATTGGCCGGGCTCCGTCTGTCTCTCGGGGGTTTCTGTCAGGCGGCAACAGGAACCCTCCAGCTCAAAACCATATGGTGGGTTTACATTGGCGTTTGGGTTCCTGGCGAATAGTATCTGGAGGGACCGGCATTTTGGGGGCCAAGGCAGAGGTGTTTCCAGCGTCCTGCAAATCCATGCACGCTGAGGTGGTTGCACCGCTGCTTGCAGATTGTCCACATTCACCCTGTTGAACAGCTGACATTCTCATCAGCTCCGCGTTTCACGGTGTGGTGTGCCTGGCTTGAACATGTCTTTCTGAATAACACCGTGCATTCCCACAGCTCTTGAGAGCCAACAAAAGGGTGACTCGCGTCAAGTGCTGATAGGGTTCAGACCTAGTGGAACTATAAAAACTATAAGCGGTTCTAGGTTCAGAGTTGGCGGCTCCGTGCCAAAAAGGCTGCCTTTTGATGAGCCAGGTAATGACTCAAGGGCATACGCAGAAGAATCGTTGCAATGCGAAGCAAGCAATGAACATCAACTCAAGTTCGCTGATCAGCAACGCCGCAGGCATGAACCCAGCGATGCATCCGCGGAGTGGAGCCCTCGAATCGGGTCAACGCTTTTTCAGCTTCGGGGCACTCGCATAGGCCTCTGACAGGATTCTGTTCAAACAGCATTATCTTTATCAAGAAACATGTCCATATCCCTGAACGATATACACCACACATATTCGTTGGCGTGGCTGGAGCGTCCTGAGCCCAAACCTTGGCCCAGCCAAGGAGCGGATGCTGCCCATCTTCTCAGCCAGCTTCAGCACGGTGTCCACATCCGCGTTACCCCATTGCAGAATGCCAGCAGGTGTGCATAGCAGTAGGCCCTGGAGGAGTAAGCTCATGGCAGCGTATGGTCGAGACTCTGCCAAGTGCGAGGGATGGTCGTCAGGTCGCCGGGACCGAATGAGAATGGAAATCACAAGACATAGAACCCTTGAAACAATAAGCTCTAGTGGCATCTAGTAGCAGCCACTCGTCCTTGCAGACGTTCAGCAACCCACGACTTTTAGATCTGCGGCTGGGCAAGGGAGACACCTGCCTGGTAGCCCACTCTCTCGCTGGAGTCCGACACGAAGTGGGTCTGCAACAGCTCGAACAGGCCTTCTGCTCCATGGAGCTGGGGGCGGGGGGAACTTAACGCAAAAGGGGCGGCCACAAACATCAATTCAAGTCGGGAGACATCGGGAGACATTGCCGAGAATTATCGTGCCCGCTGCGGAAGACTCTGCCCGGTCGTTCAGGCTAGGTTTGAGCTGGCTTGCTCTTGTGCCTTCTGCGCTTACAGGCTGAGCTAAAAAGAGAACAAGGTTCAGCATGGCATCAAGATCGGAGGCTTGAGCAAGCGCCAAATCCAGAACGTCGGTCACGGCTTGAAGCATGAAAACTAGCCATGCTTGGAATTTTTGGTTGCTCATCTTGATGGTTCCAAGAGTGGTCAATTTGACAAGGCACAACTTGGCGACATGTAATACACATGAGAGAGGATGAAACACGCGCGCACACGCACACGCACACGCACACGCACACGCGCACACGCACACGCACACGCACACGCACACACTGGAATGTGCATAATATATATATATATATATACACATAGATATGTATATTGTACATCGTGCATGTGTGTTTGTGCGCGTACCAATGTAGAGGTATATACATATTCATACACGCCCTGAGTCAATCTCTTCAGGTAACATGTTCCAGGGAAGCTCGAGGAGTGCTCTGGCAAATCACGGACCGCTCAAACGTACGTCGCCGGTATCTCCCGACATGAAATCCACATTCCATCGGAGACCTCTGTATACTTTCCATGAGTTTGGCAAATGGTGTCATTGCCCTTGGTCGGAAGCATGTCACCGTTTTGCTCCAATCGAGCTTGTCCATGCTTTGCCCTAGCTGAGCAGTTGTCAAAGGCAGGATTATGTTCATTGGAGAAAACTACAGTGACAATTCACCCCGAAACATCCCGAAACAGCCACACAGCCAGAAGCCCGGTTGGAAAAAACGTGGGGCCCTGCCTAGGTCCTCCAGTAGAGAGGTTAGAATAAGGGTACCTTTTTTCTGTAGTCTCTTTCAGTAGGAGAACCCTCCCCCCAAACAAGAAACGGTCAAAACGGCACTGGGGGACCAAGGCGCACCAGGACCGGCGCAGGGGCTCGCAGTTCTGGTCCAGCACCATGGCGGTGCCCCGGCAGCCGGGGCTCTGCAGCGCCAGGAAGAAGGACGAGCTCAGGGGGTCCCCGTCCCCCAGCTCCGCCTGAAGCGACGCTTTCGGTGCCTGACGTCGCGGCTGACCCTGCCACAAGCTTAACTTTCCGTGCCCTCAAAGGAGAAACTCCACTGTCTCGCAAAAAGTTGCAGTCCAAAGATCCAACCAGAAGGACACTAGCCGCGCCCTTCCCGTGAAGTGAACCAACCCCTTCAAGAAAACAACTAACCACATATTGCGCCAAGACGAAACCAGCACAGTCCCAACGGCCCGAACTGCTGCAAAAGAGCTGCCAAGGAGTGAAGGGGAAACGCCTCAGAAGCCTTTCAATCTCAAATGCAAAAGAGCTACTTTCGATGTCAACAAAAGGAGCGCATCACGATCTCGTGACTTCATACAATGCGGCTTCTGCACCTGACAAAGGCAAGACTCCATACAATCAAAGTGGAAACCCCTGAAAGACCCTGGTGTTTTCCCCGAAGAACATCGACTGCTAGCGGTAGTACTTGTTCCCAGGAAGTGACTACCTTTCCAATGGCGGTGAACCGGCCATCCACCCCCAAGTCCTTTTTGAATCCCTTCCAGCAAATGGATACCTCCATACCCTCCAGAGGAATGGGCAGGAATGCTTACAAGGGAGCCGCAGCTCTTGATTTCAGGTGCTCCAAAGCACAAGCCACGGATTTTGACGCACCCTGAGACATGGGAACAGGCGGAGTTGATTCAAGTATCGCGGTACTCCGCTCCGCAAAATACGGGGGGCGGCATTCAACACACCTGCCTTGGCCTTGCAAAAAGCTGAGATTCCATAGGTTTGGCTGAAGGCACCTAGGAACGCCCACAAAACCTGAACCGCCTCAATTCAGATCTAGGAATAGGCCCACACCCTCCATGCGGCGTTTCTGGCCTGGACTTGCCATTGGTTGTTGCTGAACGTGCAAATCCTCGGAATGCAACGGCAGTGGACATAGTCGTAGGGATCCTCAAGTTCTTGAGGAGTAACATGGCACCTTTACAGGGCTGTGCTGAACACTGTACCCTATCAGGGGGGCCAGGCCGCCATACTGACACGGGATTTCGAGAATGCGGAATGCCAAACTGCTCTGAGCAATTTGGCCCCTGGGGAAAGAAAAGAACACATCCATTTGGCTAGCGAACCAAACTCTCAATGTCGTGCATGAACAAGCCCAGCTGAACACGAGCACGAGAGCAGAAGGACACCAATGGCCCATCCAAATGCAAATCTTCATCTTGCAACCCATTGATTCTGTCCCAAGGCCCTATTCATCCCCTGCTTTAGACAAGCCCCCCAAGGCCCGTCGCATGTTCAATTGACAAACCACGACAACATCCCGTTGTGGCGCGTCACTTGAGGTTCAGCACATCAAAGTGACATGGGGCATGGATATCTTCTCGGAACATATGCTATGGCCAAACCCAATTGAATGCTCCAGAGTGCCGGGGTCTGGAAGAGCACATTTTGCATAACCAAGCATTTTGGCAGCCGAATGAGGAAGCCCAGAAGCCCTGTAAAACTGTAACCTTCAGACTGCATCTCATCCTTCAGAGGCCCACCTGATGTGCGATCATGATATCTCCAACTGCCACGTTTTTTCTCTGCAACAGTTCAAACCGCTCAGCCGGACCTCGCCAGCCGTCCATGTGTTTCTGTTGGCATGTCACATGGCGAGAGTCCAGAAGGACACGCCCTCACGAGGATGCGTGCCAATGGCCACCTTCTGCAGGGCCCGCACGAAGTCAGCGAAGGCGTTGTTCCAGCAGTGCGATACCTGAAGACAGGCCCTGAAAGGCCCGGCTAGCCCCAGCCCGGAAACCTTGCATGCTCAAAAAGGTGGGCCTTCTAGAAATGTGACTATGTCCCAAAAACCTCAACTCAATGATGATTCCTGTGCCAATGCGCTCAGGGTTCATGCTCATCATCCTGGACTTGCGTTTGCAGCGTCTTGTGCATGTCCGGGAAGTCCAAGCAAACCAATAAGGTCAAAAGCAACGGAACATCCTCGGATCAGCTTTTCCAGCAGAGCAAGCAGCACAAGCCCAGTGTTCCAAACCTGCCCTGCCGAGGTGCGAACCACTGGACCTGGCAGGGTCCCACCAGCTCTGCATAGCTCAGCCGGTGGGCTTCCGTGAGGGGAAGCAACAGGTTGTTGGCCACGTAGTGCCTTACACCCCCTTTGGGGGTGGGGGGGGGGGGTTGGGGGGGAGGAGGACTTGGGAAGAGGGAAGTGTTGTGTTTTTCCTTTTCCGTTTAGGAACTTTTGGCGCTTGTCAAAGTTCCTGCTCGCTGACTTACTTGCGGAGTAGCTGCTCCTGTTTCTGCCGGGGGAATTTTGCAGTGGCCGGCCAGCCTGAAGGCCAAGTTTGTGCAGAAAGGCCCACGCCCACATCCAAAATAGAAGTCTGCTAGAGTAGGGAAGGCTGCATCCAAGATGCCAGCAAACTGTCGTTAAAGAAGCTCCGCTTCCGGTTTATGTTGAACTAGACTTTTAAGCTTGTCTTGTGTGCCAGATTGGATCTACTAAGCCTGCCAATGTTGCGGCTCGGACATTTGAAACTTGGGAATCTTAAAGCTTTTTGGGGTGGGCACACAACTTTTTTTGCTTTTCACATGCAATGTGGGAAACCCCACGAATGGTGAGGGAGGCAAGGTTGGTATTGTAATGAAGCTTCATATGAACAAACACAAGAAAACCAAACGCCGTCTGTCAGGACTTGTTACAGTGCACACGTGTATAAGCCCTCCCCGAGCATGCACACCCTGGCTGAAGTAATTCGAGAGCAAAGGAGTTAGATAAAATAGATGGCGGGTCCCCAATTCCGCTGCAGTCGAACCTTAGCAAATGACCAAGTTCCCAGTCATTCCCTACCTCTCTGTAAACGAGACTCGCATGACCCTTTCCCGGTAGCCCGGCTGGGGGGCCGCGCATGTTGCGGTGGCCGATAAAGTCCCGGAAGGTGTCCAGAAGGTCTTGAATCTGGTCCGCGGCTATGGCGCGGCTTGGCCCTGGAAGAGCGGTTTCTTCTTGCTTTTCGGGGTGAGGGGATGGGGTGGTGGTGGTGGTGGTGGTGGTGGTGGTGGTGGTGGTGGTGGTGGCGGCGGTGGCGGTGGCGGTGGCGGTGGTGATAGGCCGTGGCTATTTGCTGACTCAGCTGCGTCGAGCTCAAGCAGAGGTTTGTTGCGTTTTGTTGCGTAAATGCGACTGGGCAAAGCTTATCTGTGTGTTTGCCGACGCGTCCCTGGAGACAGACCGTGGCTGGTCGCTGACTGGCTGGTCGGTTGGTTGGGCAGGGTTCGATGGTTTCTGGGCATGCTGCGCGGCTTGGTGATTTGGGGGCAGGAGGGCTGGGTTGAATGGGGTTGCGGCACTTGGCGGATGTCGGCCTTAGCGGTGGGGGCTGAATGGGCTGATAGGGCGGGGTTGGTGGTGGCAAGCCGGGCACTTGAGAATTTGGAAGGCTGCAGGCTTCTTAGAGAAAGCAAGGATGCACTTTTACTGGGCCAACACCCCAATCAATTAGAAGAATTTTCTTTAGAATTGCCCTCCCCCAGTCTGGCAATCCGGCTCAAACTCTAGCACGGCAATGCGTAGTTGAGAGCACGTTTCTTGCAATATGGGTTTTGCAGTCCTTTCAAGGGCCGGCCAGGAAGTAGTCAGACCTCTCCCGACATCATGCTTCAAGGCGCAGCCAAATAGCTACACAGCAGGCCACGCCGACACTCGCAGTCGCTGCAGGCCAAGCATTCTTGTGTCCAGCCCCAGTCCCTCTAGCTCTTTGTGCGCAGAATGGGCCCTTGGACGCCCCTTGCTCTTGGACTATGGCTGTGGCTGTCCTGCAGTGCCAAGCAGAGACTTTCATGCAGCTGGTACTTTCTCGCACGGCCAATGCCGTTTCTTGCCAGCTGTACAGCTTGGTGAGAACCAAGATCAAAGGAAGCCTCTAAATCAAACAGCCCCTGGCCAAGGTGGGCGGCGCGAAGCGTTTGCAAATAAAACATCCAGTTGTCAGACTAGTTGCCTCCTCCAAAGTTGAAGCCCTGCAACCCAAACCATCTCCAATCCGTTGCCAAAGCGTCAACATCATTCCCCCTGCCTTGCTTTCAGCTCATCCCATCCTCTGCCTCCCCCCACCCCGCCTCTGGGTGTGACCCGGGGCGCCGGGTTCGCCTTCAACAAAGTCTCCCGGAAGCTCCTCAGCCGCCGGGCCAGCGGCGTCTCGGTCAGAAGCGTACGCCAAGCCTCGCGCTCCGACTCGCCGAACATCTCCCAAATTTTGAGAGATTCTCCAAGTGTCCAACCCTCTGGGTACCTTTCTTATTCTCTGGACAACACGTCCAGCCCAGACCCCAGATGCTCTTTTGCAACGTACAAGACCGAGCAGTGATTGAATATTTTGATATGGCCCGGGTTCAAACTCGTTTGCTCCTGACTGGGCGGCGACAGCGAAGTTGTCGTCTATTGCGCGGAAAAACATGGCGGGTTTCGTACCAAGTCGATTCTAATTTTAGTGAGAAGGGCCTAGCTTCTTGAAGCTGCATAGCAACATTAGAGCAACACATCTCTGCTTCACATAAACGGCTAACGGCTGCCGTGGATATCTAACACAGCTCACACGAGTGCTGGTTTCTAAGTATCTTCGGAGCCTATGAGCCAAGCCGGGGAGGTTTGATTCGCAGGCTGGGCTTCTTGCTCTTGCCTACACTCTTATGGCAGTGAGGCTGCATTCATGGACCTGCAGTATCCCACACCAGCCCCGGCATATGAACATCAGTTCAGGTCGTCTTGCATGAAACAAAACATAGAAGTTAGAAGCAAACATCATGTCCACCGGGAAGTAAGCTACAGCGCAAGCACTGTAGAAGAAATCATTGTATAAGAAATTGAGGGGCAAATCTAGCAGGTTGCAACTGCATTTGCTGCTAAGAAATTGAGCCCCCCCTGGATTTTCGTCCAATGTCTTGTGCGGGGAAAAACCACCTCCGCACGCCAAGAATTGACCAAGGATTTCTAGTCTCTGAGGCCTTTGCTAAGAAATTCTTAGCGGCCTTTTCGGGCAATGAAGCTTCTAAGACATTCAGGAACATTTCTTAGCGGCCTGTTCTGGCGATGGAGGACTCGTTTGCTAAGAAATTCAGTGGCTGGATTTCTTAGCGGCCTTTTCGGGCGATGGAGGACTCCTTTGCTAAGAAATTCAATTGCTGGATTTCTTAGCAGCCTTTTCGAGCGATGAAGGTTCTAAGACATTCAGGAGCTGGATTTCTTAGCGGCCTTTTCGGGCGATGGAGGCCAGGAGATGGATTTCTTAGCGGCCTGTTCGGGCGAGCAAGGACTCCTTTGCTAAGAAATGGAGCTGGATTTCTTAGCGGCCTGTTCGGGCAAGCAAAGACTCCTTTGACTCCTTTGCTAAGCGGTGCAGGAGCTGGATTTCTTAGCGGCCTGTTCGGGCGAGCAAAGACTCCTTTGCTAAGAAATTCAGGAGCTGGATTTCTTAGCGGCCTGTTCGGGCAAGCAAAGACTCCTTTGCCAAGAAGTTCAGGAGCTGGATTTCTTAGCGGCCTGTTCGGGCGAGCAAAGACTCCTTGCTAAGAAATTCAGGGGCTGGATTTCTTAGCGGCCTTTTCGGGCGATGGGGGACTCCTTTGCTAAGAAATTCAGGAGCTAGGTTTCTTTCGGGCGACGAAGGTTCTAAGACATTCAGGGGCTGGATTTCTTAGCGGCCTTTTCGGGCGATGGAGGACTCCTTTGCTAAGCTTGTGCAAAGGGGTTGCAGGCAGGTCTCTTTCCACACTGCCTTGGTCGTAAAAGGGGCTGCCCGGATAGTCAATCTCACAGGCTCTCCCTGATGCGTTCTGCACCACCTACACTGACCGGGTTATTTACCGGCTCTACAAAATCTAAGCACCCTTCTCCTTGAAGTACTCGGCCCGCATCTTGCCCATGCTCCAGCCAAGACCACGGTCGTGCTGGAATTGGTTCCAGCTTGTGTTGCACTTTCTCGAAGCCCTCCTCAGCGACTCCCTCCAGCTGCTCCAGCCGCTACCGCCGGCTTGGCTGTTGGCCCTTTCCCCCGTCCTTCACCGGACACTCTGCTCGGCGATGCTGCCGCTGTCCACCGACTCCCAATCAATCATGGCTGCTCCTGTTGCCAAAGCCTTCACCTTCACCTGCTCCGCGCTCATCAGCTTTGCCGTGTCCATCTCCGCCAAGAGCAGCTCCGAACAGCTCCAGATCCCCTGTACTGCAACCCCAGCATGGTTCGCGGCTGAGCCACCCGAAAAGCTTGCGGTCCTTCCTGATTCACCAACATCGTCACCTTGCTGTCAATTCAGTAGCGAAGCTCCAATCTCCTGGGCCCTCATGTAGTACCTTGCGCAGAGTCGCGGCTGCCCAGATCCGTGAGCTTGCTGAGGATCAAGGTCTGGCCCTACTCCAGTATTACTGATGTCTTGGAGGTTAGTTCCTTTCTAATCTCCCCCGGTATAGCTCGCAACAGAAGGGTCACCCCCACTGTTCCGTCCGCACAAGCCGAAGGCCCCGAAGTGCCTCCTGCAAGCGGCGTGCTCTTCAGCCACCTCATAGAGTTTCTTCGCCTTCTCAAGAGCGCTTGTCCACCACTCCGCCGCTCCTTGAGATAGGCCTCTCATCTGCGGTACCAACCTTAAGGTGAGCGGAGAATGGTCATGCGCGAGCTCCGGCAATTCTGGTCCACTGGCTTTGCACCCTCGCTCCCTCGCCCTTGCTCCATTCGTCCCACTGCGACCAGGTCCAACTCTGATGCCACCATGCACCTTGTCCATCATTCCAGCCCGCTTCCCACCTCTGCAGCTGCTACATCTTGAGGTTTGCATTTGGTAGATGACCTCGATCTAGGTCTGGCGTACCAGTAGTCCCTGATGTTGGTTCCGCAAATGGAGGTGGTGGTGTTGGTACCAGTGGTGTGGCGAATGCCTCCTCTACCGGGGTCGCAAACACTTCGGCTTCTCACCTTTCGCACTGACTTTTCCAGAGGTTTGCTGACTCCTGCCACTTCCGCGTTCCTGCCCTCACACCCTCGATCACCTCAAACAGGTGTTTCCGCTGCTGCTCCATCCCTCGCAGCTTCTTGCGTGACTTCATGAAGTTCCTTTCCATCTCCTTTCCAAGGTCAGGCCGTCCCCGCCAACTACCCCTTGTCCAGCCATCCTCATCTTCTTCGTGAAGGCCTTCCTCCTGTAGCCAAGCACCACCATCACCAGACCTTAGTGATCGTTGTCCATCACGCGGACCTCCTTTTCCTCCTGTTCGAGCGAGCCAACGACCCAGTCGATGTGCTCCTTCTCGGCCTCTTCCATATTGAAGCAACCTTTCCCACGTCCATCACCTGGCCGTAGGTCTCCGTCCCTTCGTTCTTGCCTATGACCATCGCCTGACGTAGGTCAGGCTATCCTTTCCCCCCGGGGATGGACGTCGCGAACCTGGTTGAAGAGCCCGACCTCGACCATCTGCTTGTTGAGGAGCTCTTCCATCTCCACCATTGGCCATTGCCGCGCCCTCGAGGTCCACCCATAAAAAATCTCCTCACATCGCTCCAGAACTCCTCACTAGGACCTCGGCTCCCGGCCACTTCGGGGTGCTACTCTCGCGATCTGGCCCATGAAGCAGGTCCCCTTCTTCTCCACCATGACCTTCCTGTCGTTCTTCCTCATCTGTATCCAGCACCTGCGGCAGATCGCTTGGCCTACTCGCCCTGAGCCTGGCTTCTTCCGGCTCCAGAAAGGGTTTACGGCCGCCTCATGGGCCCAGCTTCCTCGGCCCGTCTTGGCCTTGCATTCTGCGTCTCCGTAGAGTCCTCGACCGGGTGGAAGTCGCCGTCGAGCTCTGCGACCATCGCCCCGGTCTCCTCATCCTCACCTCTCCTTCTTCTCCGCATCATTCCCGCATCCATGTTGCGAGGCGCGGAATGGAGCCGGTTAGCTTGGGCTCATAACCCTTGTGCAAAGGGGTTGCAGGCAGGTTTCTTTCCACACTGCCTTGGTCATAAAAGGGGCTGCCCGGATAGTCAATCTCACAGGCTAAGAAATTCAGGAGCTGGATTTCTTAGCGGCCTTGTCGGGCGATGTAGGACTCCTTGGCAAAGAAATTCAGGAATTAATTTCCCTACAAGAAGACAAGGTGAAGAAATTGGCTAAGAAATCCATCTTTGGCTCCAGAGGGGTAGAAACCAGCTCTTTTAAAGACGAGACTAATCGATTTCTTATACAGCGCTCGCACTGTATCTTCGTGGGAACAAAGCTGTCTTGCCTCGAATATTCAGAATATGTTTAATTGTTGTTGTGGGCTTGGCCACAAAATCCCAGATGAGGCTCCAGCAACACTGGATCGCCAGTTGAGGAGGGTTTCATACAGTTTAGCTAGGCGGTAGTGAAAAAGCAAAGCCAGGATACCCTGGACAAAGCTGCCAGAAGTTCCACTGAAACAGCTGGATGCCACAATGTGAGCATTTCTTCTCAACAGAGTGTTCCAACAGAGTGCTAAAGCAAAATGATCATGCCCCAATCAGTCTGATCCCACTAAGACTCTAGGATTTTCATGCGCCCTCAGAATCCTTGCGGATTGTTTGAACCAAGGCCGGGCCACTAATCTGCAATGCCCGTTGCTTATCGGCCGGGCGGCGTAGTAGCTGCAGCACAGCACGGCAATGATGCCAAAAATGCAGGTGGGAAGCAGCCAGCGCAAATGCATGGCCTCGAAAACACAAAACATGGGTCCCACCCAAAGCCGAATCAGAAGGCTCCCGTGACCAAGGCCAGAAAACCACCAAAAAACACGCAGTATGGAGGTCAACTTTCAGCGAGAGAGACCGATCGCGTGGCTCGGTCTCAGTTGAGACATTCAACTGTTGAACCCATTGGGGAATACTCAACTGCTCTTAACCCCGTGGGTGGAACGGGACATGACACATGGGCATTCCACACTCAAAATTTAGGCAATCACTACAGTAGTTACTCATAGTTACCCCTGCAATCATGACTCTTGTTCTAATTATTTAGCCCCTTTTGCAATTTGCACGAGACGCCGTGGATATATCAGGCATGTACAAGGTCAGAACCAAACTGTATAGCCTCCAGGCCCTCCAAAAAACAGTGAAGCGCCTCACGGCCCAAAGCAAATCAAATTCTGGAAGGTCTGCAAGACACCTACTTTACTTCAACCAACCACGTCTTCCAAGTTTCAAGAATTTCCTTCCCCTGCCCGCTCATTCTGTTTCCTGGGAGCTTTATGGTTGAAAAATCTCACCTGGGCTCTCCGCTGCCAATAGCCGTTCTCAAGCCCCGGTATCGCCAAGAGGGGCCTTGCGAGTTCGAGAACCATTTCAGCTCGCCGGTTCAGGGCGTAGCGGCAAAACCAAGGAAAGATTGCGGCCTGGAGAAGCTGACAGCACCTTGAACCAATTCAGGCACCCCATGTCTTTGTGTTGTCTGTGTGTATGCAAACCAGCTATGCTTCCACAGCTTCCATTCTGCCCTCCGGGCGCCCTCCCCAATCAGCCAAACACAGCGGAGCTCAAATAACAAAACGTTACGTACCAGTTGCTCGCATGTCAGCGTGGCACTCACGCACTTGCTCACACCCCCCCCCCCCACCTTCCGCCATCCCGCCTCCGCCTCCGCATTCCCTGCGGCCCATGCGAGTACCAGTATGAGCGGCAGGATTTTCAGCAGCAACACCGGCAGCAGCGGCAAGCGGCCGAAGCTGACGCCCCAAAGCGTGCCTCAGGCGCTTGGCTGAGGCAAACAAACGGATTGTTGACGGTGCTTAGACTCGCTGCGTGCGATGAAAGGTCGTTGCTTGTTCAGCAGCTCACTTCAACAAGGCCCCTGCTTAGGTCACAAAGCGCAACAAGAAGTATCCCAGTATCTGATTGGTGGATGCATCATGGCAAATTGGGATCGAATCCAGAAGATCAGCTGCATCTACCAAACGCCTCCCGATTCGCTGCTTGAATCATTGCTGCTCCGACCCAAAAGATTGACGTTAGCGCGGCCAACAATGCTTGGTGAGATAAGCCAACTTGTCCACTGTATGTTGATGCTGTATGATGTTGTGTCCTACCTCCCCCGTGCGCAGGTGAGTTTGCATGGAACAATATTTGCCAAAGTATGGGTGGGCTGCGTTTTGGACTTGCTGTGGTTTCCTTCAACGTTGCATGCCGCTGAAAAAGCCTGCCCATGAACAGCACCAACCGGGCAAGTGCTCACTTCAGGATCCCGCATTCTGCCAACAAGAAGCAGCATGGCAGGATCCGCATGGTGCCCATGGACGAGTTGATGTCTGTGGAGATGTGCTGGCCTCGCGGTTCAAGCCAACGTCCGAACGAGAACGCGAATCTTCCGGATCTTCTGTGTGAACCGATGGCGCTTCTCATGCCCGGCTCTCATTCCCAACTCTAGGTGGAGCGGGAGCAACAAATGCCTCTTTGCCCCCCTCGGATACCCGAGCATAATGGCATCAGGAAAGCGAAAGCCTGCAAAAGTATAAGCAATGGGCTCGGAACGTGAAAAGGACCTCATCGGGCCAGCTGTGTGTGTGTGTGAGTGCGTGCGAACGTGCGTGCGTGCGTGTGCATGTGCACGTGCATGTGTATGTGCATGTGTCGTTTGCTGTGCGTTACGTAATGGGTATTGTGTACTGTCTGTGTGTGGTGCGTCCTGTCAATTGTGTTTGTGCGCGCGCGCGCGTGTGTGTGTGTGTGTGTGTGTGTGTGTGTGTGTGTGTGTGTGTGTGTGTGTGTGTGTGTGTGTGTGTGTGTGTGTGTGTGTGTGTGTGTGTGTGTGTGTGTGTGTGTGTGTGTGTGTGTATTTGTGTGCGCATTTGTGAGTGTATTTGTGTGTGTAATTGAAATTTGTATGTGGGTGTATTTGTGTATTTGTGTGTGCGTGTGTGCGCATTTCTGTGTGTGTGCATTTGTGTGTGTGTACATTTGTGTGTGTGTGTATTGTTGTGTGTGTGTGTGTGTGTGTGTGTGTGTGTTTGTGTGTATTTGTGTGTGTTTTGTGTGTGTGTGTGTGTATTTGTGTGTGTGTATTTGTGTGTGTGTGTGTATTTGTGTGTGTATTTGTGTGTGTGTATTTGTATGTGTGTGCATTTGTGTGTGTATTTGTGTGTGTGTGTCTCTTTTTCCTTGTGAATGTCTGTGTGTGCGGGGGTGCGTGCGTGCGTGTGCGTGCGTGCTTTGCGTGTGGGGTTCTGTGTTGTGTGTGTGTGAATGTGTATGCCCATTGTGAAACGCGGGTTGTGCGATGCAGTGTAAACGTGTTGTGTTGTGTGCGTGTGGTGTGGGTGTGTGTGTGTGTGTTGTGTGTCTGTGTCGTGTGTGTGTGCTGTGTGTGTGTTGTGTGTGTTGTGTGTGTTGTGTGTGTTGTGTGTGTGTGTTGTGTGTGTGTGTTGTATGTGTTGTGTGTGTTGTGTTGTGTTGTGTTGTGTTGTGTTGTGTTGTGTTGTGTTGTGGTGTGGTGTGGTGTGGTGCGTTGCGTTGCGTTGCGTTGTGTTGTGTGTGTGTGTTGTGTGGGTGGGTGGGCGGGCGGGCGTGTGGGTGTGGGTGTGGGTGTGGGTGTGGGTGTGGGTGTGGGTGTGGGTGTGGGTGGGGGTGGGGGTGGATGGGTGGGTGGGTGGGCGGGCGGGCGGGGCGGGGCGGGGCGGGGCGGGGCGGGGCGGGGCGGGCGGGCGGACAGGCTTTGGGTGGGTGGGGGGTGTGGGGGGTGGGGTGTGGGTGTGGGTGTGGGTGTGGGTGTGGGTGTGGGTGTGGGTGTGGGTGTGGGTGTGGGTGTGGGTGTGGGTGTGGGTTTGGGTGTGGGTGTGGGGTGTGGGGTGTGGGGGTGGGGTGTGGGTGGTGGGGGTGGGGGTGGGGGTGGGGGTGGGGGTGGGGGTGGGGGTGGGGGTGCGGGTGCGGGTGCGGGTGCGGGTGCGGGTGCGGGTGTGGGTGTGGGGGGGTGGATGGGTGGATGGGTGGGTGGGTGGGTGGGTGGGTGGGTGGGTGGGTGGTGGTGGGTGGGTGGGTGGGGTGGGGGGGTGTGGGGTGGGGGGGTGTGGGTGTGGGTGTGGGTGTGGGTGTGGGTGCCTGTGTCTGCGAAAGCCTTTGCGTGCGCGCGTCTGCTTGCATGAGTCCCACCAGCATTGGGCTGGCTGCTTGGCGGGGCCCTTTCCTGCGCGCCTTCGCTATCAAGCAGCCACACCACGTCCTCGTCCTGCCGCTGCACCCGAAAGATGTGCCCGTCCTGCAGGATCACTCGAGCACCAGAACAAAACAACGCATAGACAATGCTACAGAAGACCAACATATGCCAGTGGCTCAATGTGAAGTGTTTTAGCATCTCAGACGGCACGTTGTCTAGTGGTGCATGCCAATTGCAATCATAGAAGGCATGTGTTTATACCGGCTGCGTGGTAAACGCACATGCATGCTTTTGCCAAGTCTGGGTTGGACAAGGATGAAAGCGGCACTCAGTCAAAACTGTGGGTTTGGGAACATGGCTTGAGCAACCAAGCTGGACCACTTATTGGGGAGCAGAGTGGAACTTTGACCTCTTTGAGCCGGTCTGATCACTCAACATGACGGGTGAGACAAAGTGCCTTCCAAGGGAAACGTGCTTTCTGGCTTTGTGTGCCGAGCAGTGTCGTGCATAACAAATATAATCAGACAGTACCATGATCACCGTGTTAACGAGAAATCTTGAGGGCCAGCAATGAAACTACGGATTTAACATCAACCTTGATGGCTGGGTTGAGCGGCCAAGCGCATTCTTCAAACAGCTCAAGCATTCAATGCCAAGCAACCGACACACGCTCCTAGAAAGACTTGAAGCATTGCTGTTAAGCAATACAGTACTAGTGTAGAAGGGAATTGACAAAGGACCTGTGGCTGTGGTTGCGCCCGTGACCAACAAGGTGCTGTTCTTTGTTGTGTTGCCTTCGCAACAGCGCTAGGGATTACCAAACAAGCTGTCCTGCCTGGCGGCAAATGCCAAGCAGAACGTTCCCTCATGTGCCTTGTCCCTCCCTCTCATTGAACTCACGGAACCATTTGCGATGATTTGCTAGAACTCCAAAACTGGTGGCCCCTGACTCTTCCCTCCCAAAACAAAACAATAAGGCCAAGTGGCATCCCCAACTCCAACAGCCCAAACCGGAAAAATCCGGACCCCCCCCTGAAAGCTGCCCCAAACCGAATCAAACAAATCCAGGCTTTTGCTTTCCGTGGCATAGCTCGCGGTCCAGCAGGTAGTGGCCAGTGTTTTGGAGGCGCACCTTCACTGGCAGCAGCTGGTGTCTGCTCACGCGGTGAGCGCCCCACGTCTTCAGTGCCAGCCGGCCCCCGTTCAGGTACACGTCCTCGCCGCGAAACCGGCGGGTTTCCAGTTGGCTTTCTAACCCGCCAACCCGCCAAACAACGGCACCCTGCCAAAAAGACAGACCTAGGTGCGTGGGCTCCTGGCTGTTTTGTACTGGGGACTGGCGTTTTGGGTAGATCCTTCAAGGACATACCAACAGCAATTGAGTCCTTGCGGGCAGTGAATGGCGGACAGGATCATTCACACGTTCAGTATTTACCAAGAAAACGAAACAACAAAAAGAAGATCACTAAGACCCCGGCAGCCAACCACAAAATATCCACTAACGAAGATGTGGGGAGTGCACGAACTCGCCTAAAGCACGTATCTACGGTTAACAAATCCCAAGTGGGATAGAAAAAATATGGTGCCTTTTTGTCCTGATACTTGGGCAACCTGAGATGGCTGTCTTGCGAGGCTTGCAAACAAAGGTGGGACATATTTGCCTGTGGGTGCCCAGACGATTGCGGGTGCCCATTGCCCAGCGTTTCAGCTTGGATACGAAGGTTCCTCCTGTGCGGTCAGGAAAAAACGCAGTCGGTCGAACACCCCTTGCGGATGAGGAAACAAAGAAGCCGCTTGCCATCGAACGCAAAGATGTCAATTGAGATCCGGGAATGCTCATCAGCAGCGGTCGCCCGTCTTATATATTTAGCACAGTGTTGTCCCATCGATGTGAAGATCAATGAAAAGATCAGTAGCGCGGACATCCAAAAACTCATTAGGTGTCCGACAATAGTCAGGGACTCACTCGGACGGCCTTTACGGCAACCGCATATTTTGGCCGTGGCTCAATGCGTTGAAGCGTGATTCTCCGAACAAGACATGCGTGGCCTGAAAATCGCAGAATCGATGATGCCCAACAAATATCCCGGTGAATCTACACTGTTTGGAGTGGTTGAAGGGGCTCTTGCTTGTTCTTGGGCACGCCGCTCCCTCATTCGGAGTGATTTGGGCATCCATTGGTCTGTGGGCCGGGCGCCGTCTTTGGATTGGGAAATTGAAGCCTTGATACCTTGCCTGTCGCTACCCCTCAAAATACACAAGTTCCGATCAAAATCCTGGACATCCTCAACCAATCAACCACAGATTCTGTTCATTTTGCAACTAGCGACCCTGCCGGCGGAGTCACTTAGCCCAGCCAAGCCACGGCGATGGGCGTTGGTCGGCCGAGAGCGAAAGGCAGCAAAAAGGCCAGCGACAGCACAAGCACAAGGATGGCCAAATTCACCCAGATCCTGGGCCGCTTGTTTGCACTTCTCGCTTGGTGCATCAAATTGTGAGTCCTCCGCGGACTTTCGTTTCGGCCATCAAATCCGTGGTGTGCTTTTGAAACACTCTTTGTTCAGCGGAATCCTGTGGACTTTCGGGGGTCGACATTCAAAATCTCGCTGTTAGAGAGAAAGAGAGAGCGAGAGAGAGAGAGAGAAACATAAAATACAAAAAAAGATAAATAGAAAGAGAGAGAGAGAGAGGGAGACACAAAGAAAAAGAAACAATAAAAGAAATAAATAATGAAAGAAAGAAAGAAAGCCAGAAACAAACAGAGAGAAAAGGAGAGAGAGAGAGAGAGAGAGCGAGAGAGAGAAAAAGAAACAATCAAAGAGAATGAAAGAAAGAAAGCCAGAAACAAGAAGAGAGAAAGAGAGAGAGAGAGAGAGAGCGAGAGAGAGAGAGAGAGAGCGAAACATAAAAAAAGAAGAAAAAAAAAAGCCAGAAAGAAAGAAAGAAAGAAAGAAAGAAAGAAAGGAAGAAATAAAGGAAGAAAGGAAGAAATAATGAAAGAAACAATGAAAGGAATAAATATAGAAGGAAAGAAAACAAGAGAGACAAAGGCAGGAAGAGAGGGAGGAGAGGAAGACAAAGATAAATCGAAAAATAAAGTGGACTACATTGGTCGACACTCTCAGCATGGCCAGGGTATGCGGGTCGGCGGCATGCAGGCGTCAGCCTCTGCAAATTCGCATTTCGCAGGGGCTGTGCATGAACCAGAAGGTTGTCCCCTTCATATCAGCTCCAAAACATAAGAATTCTACATTGCAAAAAGCAAATTTGGAAGCTGACCTCCTGCTGGTGCGGATTCCCTGAACATATTTCGACCACTGGGCAAAGGCCTGGATGGGGGGTCATGGTACATAAGGCTTGATTCGCATCCCTGTTAAGCATGTAGGCATTTTGCCCAGGTACAAACAGGAGTCCACGATCTCTGATCCAAGCAATCCTTCGGCTGGATTCCATTCATCACGAACTGGAGCAACACATGCGGGCCGAAAAAAGGAACAAGGTGGTGTTTCAAGAATTCGAGCTCAGACCGACAGAATTAATTCGAGCTCAGACCGACCAGAATTCACATTGATTCAAGGCTCAGCACAGGCTTTGGCATGCAATGCTCCTTTGCAGCGCTCTTTGGCGGCGAAGTGTAGCCTGAAGGGCACGGCATACAGAGACCGCTGTCCTCGCGAGGGCTCGAACCAAGGACGTCAGATCTTACGGCGCAGGGAGAAAGGGTAAAGCTGCCAAGAATATGGCTATGGCAAGGGAAAACTATGAACAGAGCTTTTGAACCAATAGATGTTTATTGGCTGCCGCTAGACGAGCGGGCAAGCAAGCAAACAGGATGGCTGTTTTTGCCATGTTTCAAGTTTATGAGCTGGGGAATCTGTTTGTGCATAAGAACGGGAATGATGCTTCCCATTCCCACTTGTGCTTGGTGTACGGTACTTCTGCGAACCGAGCAGGGTTCTAAACCCGCAAGAATTGGTACAAAAATGGGCATGTGCCAAAATAGGGGCCAAACATGGTGCTTTCCTGGTTTCCCTTTAAGCCAACCCTAAGGTGACCCTTAAGAGAACACACACCCAAACGCCAGCCCCTTGGCGCTTTCTCTCCTGGTAGGTCCCGGCCAAGCAGTCCCGGCAGGTTTTGTCCATGGGCGCTTGTCCAGGCAAGCAGCCGAAGCAGGCCGTCGCACCTGGGGCTTCAAATGTCAGCACCAAAAGCTTCACCTTGGGTAACGAAAGATGAAACGATGGAAATCCAAACGCAAAGATCATTTCCAGTTACTTGGAAATGGCCGGCTCAGAGGAAGAATCACATCATGATAAGCCAGAGCGAGTGCTACTGAATCGAAACATGAGAAATAGGATGTTCAATGACCCTTTACAGGGCTCGAAAAACGCTCTCAAACGCTCCTTCAAACGCTCTTCAAACGCTCTCTCGCTCAACTCCGGCTCTCTGGCCTAGAAGCCCCTAAGTTGGACCCTTTGCCACCGATAGTGGATTCCAGCGAGACCAGCCTGTCAAACGCATCTGCGGAGACCGCAACAGTGACAAAAGGGTCATGAAGTTCATCCTCGTCTAATTCACATCTTTAAGTCCGCTCCATGTCTCTCGCCTGTGATGCTGGCCACCAGCCCCTCAGGGCACTGTTCGCAGGAGCTGCTGCCGACGGATGAGCTGAAGCGGCCCAAGGGGCAGGGCTCGCAGGCCTGCGGCCGCATGTTGACAAAAGCCAAACAGGTCCAGGGAAGGAGGACCGGGGATCTCCCGGGTGCCCAAAAATAAACGCGCTTGAGGCATGCTGCTCAGAGGTGGTTGCGCAGTTGGTCTAAAAGACACAAAACATGGGGCAAAACCAATCAATTGCGGGTGGGGAGGGGGACTGAAGGAATAGAACCAGCTTGATAACGTCATCGGCACTTCCTCCCCTTAGCAAGGGGAACAATGAAATGGAGTGAGTATCCACGGATGAGACTTCTCACCAAAGAGACAATAATTGGCATGGCCAGCAGTAGATGTTTCTTCAAACAAAGGGCCCTTGTTGTTAGCGTACAGGAGAACAAAAGGGCACAAACACAACAACCCAGTATTTGAAGTCCCTGCTTTAAGGCTGCGGCCCTGTCCTCGACACCCGGGTCTGAATTGAACTGCTCATGTTCATCTAAGAGCATCATAATCGCTACCTGACCCGTGAGTGTGCTTGCCCTCCCTCCCCTCCCTCTGCATTCTTGACGTTTTGGCTTCGGCCAGCTTCTCCGCCCCATGCGCCTGGTCCACAGAACGCTCCTGACGAAGGCTGGGTGCTGGGTTCTGCAACCCCTCAACGGAGGCCAGCAATGCCGTGCCGCTCATGCGGGCACTCCCATCAGAACAAGTTGCAACATATGTCCAAAGAATTCTTTTTCAGATCACATGGTCTTCCAGGGGTCTTCTTTCAGTCTTCATGTCCGCGAGGAGAGATATTGTGGTACAGGCCCACAATGGGCACCTGTACCATCGCTTCCACGATGCTCTTGTCAGATGCTAGATTATCCCTTTCGATGGAAGTTGGTCTTTGCTTCTCGATCACCATTTGCCGATTTTCGGGTGGCTTCATGAACTCGTGGTGGATGAAATGGTGTGCCCTTTGGCTGCAGGCTTGCTCCTTCTGGTTTGATGGGTACCATCACAAACACATCATAAGCAACGCAGTGTTCGAGCAACTTGGAGCGGTGGCAAACAGTCGCCGCTGTTTGCCGAGGCTGAAATACGTGAGGTTTGGACGAGCAATCATGACGCCCTGCCCACGTCGTGACCAAATCGCCCAATGATGTACCGAATTCGCTTGCAGAAAAAACAACAAAACCTGAATGGCTTTCCACACAACAACACAGCACAGCACAATGTATACAATACAATTACAATTAGTACAATGTAGCACAGCACCACACGACACAACGCAACACAACACAAGCAACAGCACAAAACTTAAGACAACACAATATTATGCCACAAAATCACCGCATGATCCAAGATTGGTCATGCGCCGCACCGAAGCACGACAAAACAGCACCACAACGTAGCGCAACAAGTACTCACGAAACACGCGAAGCCATCAAAACCAAACTCAAGCAAACCTGGAACATAAACTCATTGACCGGGATGCAAACAAACCCAAAATGCCGCCTCGGCCTTTAGGGCTTGGAAGGGGGCAAGTCCTGTTTAGATCAGGTCTGACCCAACTCAAGATGTCCACCTTCCCTGCGGCAAGCTTCTACCCCCTAGTTCCGGCAGCCTCCCGCCTGGCCCAGCCCCACCGCCCAATTCAGCCAGCCAGTTTCACACAGCCAAGCACGCTGGGACTCATCCCCAGCCCCCAAGCTCCAGGACCTTCCATGAGAACCATCCAGCCCCGAACCCCCAGACCCAACCCGGCTTCCCCAAGCCAATCTTACTCACCCCCCGGGCCAAGTTGCAGGCAATCACTCATGATAGCAGTCCCACTACACCCCAATGCGCAATATCAAACACACACACACACAATGACATAGCCCCTATGTTGAAAACAGCATGCTTGCCTCCCTTCCGTCCCCTCACCTAGAAAAGCGCCCGCCAAACGGCCCCCACCAAGTTCCCAATGTTCCTCTTTACACATCCACCCAAAGGGATATACCAAAAGGTGCCCTTTCACACCCAGAGCGACATCTAGTCGGACCCAGCCAAGGCTTTGCCCAAGTATGTTGAAAGCCTTTGTGTAAATCAATCCGTCGTGTGCACTTTTGCTGCCACAACTACCGTGCGGCCCCTGGATGCGAGTTACCCAAACCGGGCCTCGCGGAATTGCCCTGCGGAGCAGTGCTCGCACAGGATGGTCCCCAGGTCGTCTGAGATGAGCTTCTGCCCGGCAAAGCACCCCGGATCGCCGTCCAGGGGGTTTTGGCACCGCGGGTCATTCTTCCACCTACCACAAGCACATTCAGCTCAAGCCGAGAGATGGAAAGCAGGAAGGAACAACACTGCAGCAGGACTTCTGAAAGAATGCCCTGCACAAACAAGAAGTAACTCAACTTTCAGGGGGTTCGCGTGGCCCTCTGCCTATTTTTCTTCGCCGCACCTCGACGCATTGCAGGGACGCACCAGCTCATCGATGATGCTGGACCTTGGCTTTCAACTTGAAATTGAGCTGCTTGCTTTGCTGCACGTTTCGCACTCGACGCGCCTGACTTAGACACCTTGCAAGGGGCTACGCAATGGCCCTGCTAACCTTCTCAAGTGAGAGCTGTTTGCGCAAAGGCTGCCTTATTGATGAAGGCGAATTGGACTGAACAAGCGTTGAAGACCGCCTGCCCGGCTGCCCATGTTCATCTGATCATGAAAATTGTTGGTCACCAGCAAGGAATACGTACAGCAGTTAGACAACTATGCCTTTTTGTATTGTGCCGGAGGAACATCGGCTTTGTCGGGGGACCTGCTCTGTGGCATTTGAAGGACGGAGCTTCTGGCTTACTTTCCGCAGAATTTGCGAACGCCAAACCCTTGCTAAGGCGCGCTTCTTGCCGCGCCCTCTGGGAGCTCACATTCCCGTAGATGCGCCGCAGCAGTGCGATGCGGATCGGATTCAGATCCTCCAAGCGCATGCGCATGCATATTGTGCATGGAGGGGTTCCAAGTGGCATATGGCTGCTGAAGCAACGGTTTTCAAAACATGAAGCGCACGCCGAATAGGCACACATAGTGACAGTGCTTTTTTCCCCAACTGCTGAAAGCTTTGGTGTCTCAGCCCAGATAGGCTCCGGGGTCCGGGGCGGCCCTGAGGTAAGGTTCCACGAGGGTTCCATTAGGGTTCCACCAGGGTTCCACGAGGGTTCCACCAGAGTCCCACCACGGTTCCAGGTTCTGCGAGGGCTGCTGGGTGGTGCGAGCCCTAAAAAGAGCACCGCATGCTGTTGGGGATATCACCTGAGCTTATTTGGCGACACGCTGTGCTATCACTAAGGCCGCGGGATACTCAGCAGGACGATAAGGTGGCTAATGAGACCGGCTCCAAGCTGCTCAAGACACACGGACTTGACTTGAAACACACTTCGTCAACCCCCGGCCTCCAGCTGGGAGCTTGCAGGGATTGGCACGTTGGGGTACCTCAGTTTGAGTGTAAACGGCGTGCCTTACAGAATATGACAACGACATCGTGTTTCCACCTTGGACCTTGGAAACATTCAGTGTGGCATTTGTAATTCAAGGAGATACTGTGGGTGGACGCAAGCTTGCACCACTTTGAATCCATGGGAGACAATTGATTGTCGGTATTTACAAGGAAAGGGAATCATTCTAGGGTTTCTTAGGTAGTGCAAGATTTGGCCACGCACAAGCCCAGCCCTGTCATGGCCAGGTGGAAGGGCTCTGTTTGCGGCTCAGGGCAACCAAAGCGTCACTCCTTGCCAAGGGCTGAGCTGTTTTGTGGATCAAACATCAGACTACGGGGAGACCCTACGCTGTTGATGCACGAACCTGGCCTGTGTGGCTTCCGGAAGAATCAGGGCTGTCCTGGTTTTGATCATGCAGCCCTTCACACCTGATTGAAGGACTCTGTTCACCCAGGATTCTTAGTTGATTGGTGTGCACCCTCGGAAGTCTCCACCTCTGATGCTATAAGCTGCGGAAATTGCGGGGTCCTAAAAAAACAAATCTTGGCATCTGTACCGATCTGTCGCCTTACGTCAGGTCTCAGGACAAGGTCGCTCTGGTCTGCCTAAGTTGCCCTTTCTTGGCCAAGTCGGCACCAATTCTGTCGCCTACTCTTGATCGGTGGATTTGCATTCCCTGAACAAACCATCCACGGCATTCCACAAATCCCTGTGCAACTCGCCTGGGCTGCTGAGCTGGGACTGAACTCTTGATTACCTTCCGCATCTCGATCTAGATA